ATCATAAGAAATTAACAAGCTTTGTCTGTCTGACATTATGACTTTAGGTTTAACTACATAATTTAGTACAATCAATAACTGCTCCCTAGATATGCACTTGTTAGGTTTCTTACGATGCCCACACAGTCACCGTTACAAAAAAATGATTTTCAACCCAGACAATGACATATTATGACACAGATTTCGTCTTCAATAAAATTAAATCTTAAACGAACTAGAAATCTCTGTCTTGCCATTTCATCATACAGTTGGTCAACCATCCGCCGTCCACACTAATCGGGGACTATTCGGGGTGCATTGGCCCCATTAGCCATCTTCATTCTGGCAACAACTGAAAATCTCTGGATATTACTTTGTTAAGTTAATGGGTCAGTAATTGACACAGCTTAACTCCGGCCATTCCTACACTTGCAATGTCCATTTTCTCTATAGCCAGCATAGAACGTCCTGACTAACGACGTCAATTTTAAGCTAGTTAACAGTACTATTGCTTTTTCCTCTGGCAATTCCTCCAGAGCCTTAGCTTACTCCCCACTCGCTTCGCTCACTCAAATAAGAGGATGATGATGGTGGTGATGATGATAACGCTGATAATAATGTTTGATAATAAAGATGATGATGATCGTCAAAATGATATTATGACGATGATGATGATAAGAAGGAGAAGGAAATTATGATGATGATAATGATGAATATAATGATGATGAACTTTTTGCGTTAGTCACAATTCACTTGCTATGATCGGAAAGGCAATCAAGATAAATAATGGTTACAATAAATGGACCACGTCTCATTAAATATACCTGACTGGAAACAATAGGTTGACAAGTTTTACAAAGCGAGGTTGAAACTACTTATGCTGGATATAAACATAGCCAACGATGAACCCAAGAGGTTTGACTTTACTAAGCACTTTCGGAATAAAGTGGGCATAAGAACACTTAGGCTTGCAGAAGGATGATGCGTAAGGCTAGCTCGACCAGAATGTACAAATGTCCCCACGAAACTTTCATTCTTTGAGACGAGTCGCATTCCAAACAAGGTCGCATATCAAGCCAGATAGATATATATACCAACTAAAAGTTTTCGCATTCAAACAGGACGTATACCAAGTTGGACTTGTACCATATGGGACGTTTACCGTGGCACCACTAATTGTGGAAAGCTGGAAAAAAACAAAATACTCCTCCACCTCCATCTCCCCCTTCCTCTTTCTTTTTTTTCTTTCTTTCTTTTTTCCCCCTTCTTTCTTACTTTCTTACTTTCTTACTTTCTTTCTTTCTTTCTTTCTTTCTTTCTTTCTTTCTTTCTTTCTTTCTTTCTTTCTTTCTTTCTTTCTTTCTTTCTTTCTTTCTTTCTTTCTTTCTTTCTTTCTTTCTTTCTTTCTTTCTTTCTTTCTTTCTTTCTTTCTTTCTTTCTTTCTTCTTTCTTTCTTTTCTTTCTTTCTTTTTCTTTCTTTCTTTTCTTTCTTTCTTTCTTTCTTTCTTTCTTTCTTTCTTTCTTTCTTTCTTTCTTTTTTTTTCTTCCTTTCTTTTTTTTTCTTCCTTTTTTCTTTTCTTTTTCTTTCCTATTTTCATTTCTCGTCTTCTGCTTCTTCTTCAAGCTCTTATAGATACCCTCCCTTTCATTTTTTATATATACGCGTTTGTCTGTGAAAGACCGTAGCAATATATCTTCTCCACTTCAGTTCTGCTTGTTCGCTAACTACACTTGTTCAACATGCAACCAATAAACCAATGATATGTGCACAACAAAGACAATTCACTATTAGAAAAAAATCGTTAATAAAAAACTAAAAAAAAAATACTCATATAGCTGAGTTGATTCGCATTAAGAACAGACATCACAGCACACTAGACATCACCGTAAGTCAGATTACGTGTCTCTGGGAGCAAAGTGTAAGGCCGATCCTTTGGTCACTGCCCGGCTGCATCGTAGGTCTGCAGATAGCAATCCTCTTTTCTCGCTTCCACATTATTCTCTTACCACAAGAGGTCCTTGGCCGCATCTAGCTTGTAGAATCATATATTCTTCTTCAGTTCTTCAACTTCTTTTTCACTAGTTCGAACACCCTTATGATATTTTTCTGCTTGACATCTAAAGCTATTGCCTTCAGACTGCCCTAGAAACAAATATTCGATTAGTTCCTTGTCGTCACAATTCTGTAGTGATAGTCTAAGTTAGCTAGGCTTTGTCAAATTCTGTAATTACGTTTTATAAACTGAACATGTGGGGAAGTTAAGTAATTTGGTATGAGTAGCTGGTCTTATTGATGAAGTTAAATAAGTAGGTTATTTAGATGATTTTGCTGACAAAAGCAAGCAATTCGATAATACTAGCAGAACCTATTAGTAAAATCAGGTTGTTAGACATAATTTTCAAAGCGTGTAAGGTGAATTCCAATAATTCTATATAACTGATCTATTGACGAGGTCAAGTAATTAGATATTGCTAACAGGACCTAGTCAAGTAATAATCTATTGCTAACTTGACCTACTGATGATGTAAAGTAATTAGTTATTATTAGCTGAAGCTTTTTAAGAAATCAAGTAATCAGTAACAATAACAAAATGTATTGCTGAAATCCAGTAATTAGCTACACTTAACTGGACATACTGGTGTACGCATGATATTAGGTATGAATAACTAAACATATTGATGCCGTTATGTGATGACAGAAACATGTCACAAACTACCAAAAAAATTTAAAACATTTCTTCTGTCTCCATAGCATGAGGTTGTCTGTATTGGATATTGGCATTCACATTTGTCTTTGGGAATATTATGTGGTGACGCTTTGTTTTCTTTTACGGTGGGATTCTCATACCACTATCCGAAAAATACGTGAAAAGTCTTCTACCGTCCTCAGAGAAATCGAAAGCCTCAGATAGCCTCACCAACAGCGTGAACAGAACAAATCATGAACGCTCCATCTCTGCAACGTTCTTTGATTAATGTAACTGTGATTTGTTAAAGTTTATCTGCACCTTACATTTTCTATTTGTTTACATTTTCACAGCCTAAGTGCATTTTGACTGGAAGAGAACTATCTTCCATCCAATACCAAAAAAGGGTGACCTGAAATTATGTACAAACTATCGAACTATTGCCCTGATCAGTCATGCAAGTAAAATTCTACTAAAAATTATAATGAGAAGACTGCAAAAGAAAATGGAAGAAGAGATTAATGTAGCTCAGGCTGGATTTAGACAGGGAAGAGGAACAAGAGATCATATATTCAACATGCGTTTAATAATAGAGAAGTGTAGAGAATTTAATGTAAATCTGTTCTTATGTTTTGTGGATTATTCAAAAGCATTTGACTGTGTACAACATCAGAAGCTTTGGGAAATCATGAGGAATATGGGCTTTCCATCACATATAGTGCAGCTCATTAAAATGCTCTATCAAGACCAACAAGCAGCAGTCAGAATAGATGGAGAGACATCAGACTGGTTTGGCATCAAGCAAGGAGTCCGTCAGGGATGTGTGCTGTCACCGTATTTGTTCAACCTGTACGCCGAAAATATAATGAGAAAATGTAAGAGATGATATAAACAAGGAACAATATGATGCCCTAAACATCGGTGGGTCATGAAATACCAGAAAATTTCGTTATGCTGATGATACAGTATTACTATCAAACATCACAAAATGGTTTAGAAAACTATTATTAACCTCACTCCAAAGAAATAGTGAAAAAATCATAACTTATTTCTTAACACAGCAAAAACAAAGATAATGCATACAAACAAAACTGCCATGGAGAAGGAAATATATGTTAATGAGGAAAGATTGGAAGTGGTGGAAAATTTCGAATATCTTGGGTCACTGGTTACCAACAATGGTGACACAATGAAAGAAATTAAACGGCGACTATCAATTGCTCTTCAAAGACTAAAACAACTGAATAAATTATGGAATTGTACAGATAGAATTACAAAGGTCAGATTTTTAAGAGCATGCATCTTTCCCATTGCAACATACGCCTGTGAGACCTGGACACTTACTAAACAAGCGGAACAGCGCATAAATGCATTTGAATATAAATGTTACAGACAGGTTCTAAGAATATCTTGGGTAAAGAAAAGAACAAATGCATCCATACTTCAAGAGCTGAATATTGAAGAGGGTTGGCTAGTAAAGACAATAAAACAAAGAAAATTGAAATATTTTGGTCACTTGAAACGTCATGGAGGTCTAGAGAGAACAATAATGGAGGGGTATATGCCTGGGAAGAGAGGAAGAGGAAGGCCAAGGAGAAGATGGGTGCAGGATGTGGCAGATGATCTCCAGATGGGTGTATCAGACGCAGGACATCTTGCTCATGATAGGAAGGTTTTCCGGAGGGTTGTTATGGCAGCGAGGTTCCGCGAGGGACATGCTACTGAATGAATGAATGAAGTGCATTTTAAACTATCTTATTTACAAAAATCGATACCATATTCCTGAATGTTTGTTCACCTAAAGAGTAGTTCCATATATTACCACTATCTTTATGTTCTTTGTTTACATGTATGACAGCGTGTTCGTGTTTGTATTTGTGTGTGTGTGTTTGTGTGTGTGTGTTTGTGAGTGTACGTGTGTGTAGGTGTGTGTGTGTGTGTGTGTGTGTTTGTGTGTGTGTAAACCATATTTTTAAAGTGGGGCGCATAATGTGTATATATACTGTTTGTCTGCTTTATAGCAATCCCAATTGTATGAATACAGTATCACGTTATATTGTACTACACACAGGTAATACATCTCTATGGTTCAGACATTACCGCATGTAACGACTGTAAATCTATTCAGTAAGGAAGGTTAAAGGAACTGAGGTTCAGTTGTTTGAATTAAAATCCGACATCTTCGCATCTGGGACATTCTCATTAGCATCCTGTCCTTACTTCAGTAGCCAGAGAAGAGTTCCACTGCAGATAGTACCTAAATCAATTCAATTTACTTGCCTATATTGCATATCCTCTTTCTGAGAGTAATATTTTTTTGTTTTGTTTCAAAAGGAACAAGAAGCAGTGTCGACTGGATAAGGCAGAGCTAAGAGAGGAAATCAAAAGAGTTCGCGAGAAATGGAGGCGGCTAAAGTTGCAAATAAGACGTTTAAAAGAGCAAGATTTTGAAAGAAAGAACATCATGAGAAAATTCCAACTTGCGGACAAACATTCTTCCAAAAACAATGGCACAAAACCGACTGTTCCAGTGAAACAAGTAAGTAGAGACAAGGTGTTGTCTTCCTGTGGGTCAAATTCTAAGGGTGAATTATTTGAAAAATAAGAAGACACCTGAAAGACTTAGAAACAAAACCCCATAGGACAATACAACAGAATGCAAACTGTTTTGGAAAATTGCATGAAAGACACTCTGTAATAGAGTTCAACGTTATGTTGTAAACTTTAGATTCAGAAAATGGCGCGCAGCCTGTTGCCACAGAATTAGCGGTGCCTCATGTTTTTGAAATTGATTGCATTTGCAACTGCTCATCTGCTTGTTGCTTCTATAGATGATGAAATGCATTTAATATGTCAGACTGTTTGTGTTAGCACTTCTGATGGCTGCCTTATGCTTTTAATACGTGTGTATGCTAGGATTTACTGAGACTGCAGTCTGTGTCAATTTTCCCATAATAAAGGGTGATGTACATTTTGTGTGTTTTTCGTTGGCACAGAAGCGGAGCCACTTTAGGGGGACCCGTTTGCTATGAAACTGAAGCTAGGATTAGTAGATTACCAGAGCTCATAATTAATGCTAACCACATACTCTATTAGAAAACTTGTATCCCTATATTACAGAATATATGTGGCTTAGAAGTAAGTGAATGCTTTGTGATCTGAGATTACTAGGGTAAGATTTCCGTGGAAGGCGGTGTTTTTGTAATCGTTCTCGTGGTTTCGGAGTTGGAAACCAAAGTCGGATCGTGGAACAGATAGAGACACCGCCCGCTGATATCCCCCCCCCCCCCCCCCCAAAAAAAAAAGAAAACATTTGTACATTGTAGTCAACCTTGATTGTGGAGACGGTACACTTTTGTTTTTTCATAGCAAGATGTTAAGTAATTGATTAAGTGCAATAGTGCACTCACATATAGCCTGCCGTTAGAGATGTAATATGCACAGAAAAAAATAAAGATAGTGTAAAGCGAACGACGGCATCAAGTTAAAGTTTAGAAAATATAGACCAATTTAGACAGGATAAGAAAATAGGGGAAACTTATGGACCACATCCCAACCTTTCTTCATGAAATGTCATCTTTTTTCACAAATACTGAGATAACAAGAGGAAAGGAATAATACATAATTTATCAGAAAATCAGGAAGCACTAAATTCATAAATAACAAGAACCAAAGCCTGAGAACAGTATAACAAGAATGTCTTTAAACTGGAAACCACATGGTCATAGAAATAAAGGAAAACAAACCCCAAAAAAAAAAAAAATAACATTTAGAAGGTAGCTAGAGAACGAAGTAAAAAATATGGGGAGGGCATGGGGAAAGCTGCATGCGATAGGAAAGTATAGAACGACCTATTCTGAGTTTGTTGAGGGTCTATGCTCCAATTGAAGCTAGAGAGGTAGAAGAAGAACCAATGAGAGCACAACAGAACGGACTATCAAATATTCTATAGGACTGAAATACATTGTGGCCCTTTTAATGGCGAAACAATCGGGAATGGAGAAGTTGAAAAATTTGCAAATAAAGGTAGAAGACTTTATTAGTCTTCTTCATACATGACCTGCTATGAGGTGAACACATTGATTAGATGCACATGTAGATTCAAGTAGGGATACGAGCCTCCAGGTAATCAGAAAGATAGTGCATATAAATTGCTGGATCGAATAAAAACACGTAGCTGTCTTCAAGCCCTAGATAAACACAACGGGCCTACGTATCAACTGTTCAATAATCTAAGATAATAATAACACTATTGTTAAGAAAGGGTACACTAGAGAATTCAATTGTGGGAGAAAAAGAATTCAAAAGCGTCACTGTCATCTTAAGACACACGAGTACAGCATAACAGTCAACAGAGGGAGCCCAGAATGTGCTGTCGATTAATCGTTCAGTTAAAACACCCAGCGACACAGTGTCAAAAACTAATCAAAGCAAAAAGAAGAACAACTACTAATATGTTATTTCCCGCCCCCTTCCCACCTTCCTCGCATATTGCAGAAAGGTTTGAATACCAAATACAACTGGCCCCAGAAAAAGAAACCGGAGCCTACAAAATCACCCTCAAGGAGAAGAAGAGCTGCCACTGCTCGCAAAGACAGGCTGTGGGACTTTGGAGTGATACCTTATATGATCGATGCCAATTTTTCAGGTGAGTTGAGTTAAAACCCGACTTATTTTCGACATCCTCATAAGAGCTTTACCACCATCTCCTGCAGCCAGCACAGAATTCAGGTTGACGTTTTTTAATTTAGTGTCAAGTTCTTGTTATAATAACGCAAATATTGCAGGCGTTCTTTTTGGAACACACTATCCGTGTTACGCCTTTCATTTTTGTGTTTGTTTTACAGTGTAAAACCTTAAAACCTCGTTAATACATAATCGCTTAACTTACCTTGTTAACTTGAACCATATTGTTGTCCCAGCAGGGATGCATTATTGTTATTAGTCATCAGTTAGCACACATACTGTGCACATGCAAATCGATTAATGATCCCTTGAAATTGGTTGTAATGATGTTTTATTATATAATGCGGCAGCAGTTGTTGCAGGCGATGACAAGGATGAAGCTTAATAATAAAAATAATAATAATAATACCGTGTGAATAATAATAATAATAATAATAATAATAATAATAATAAGGATAAAAATAAGAAGAACAACACAACAATCACAAAATTAACGAACGAACACACTAACACACTTTATTTCCACAGAGTCACAGACTGGGTGCCTAGGCCCGTCTTACATTTGGCCATTTCAAAGACTCATCTTTCACACGGCAATTGAATTTTATCGATCAAACATACCGTGTTCATATAGCAAAATGCACAGTATGAGTGTAAAGTAAATAATGCAGAAGTGTGGATTGCAAATGTCTACAGAAGAAAAAGAGGAAGAAGAAGAGGAGGATGAAAAGCAATAGGATGACGTGCAATGCCAATATATTGTCTCTTTTTTATCTGTAGAGTGTCCGCACCGTATTTGTGTATACCGAATATAACATAAAATGTGATTAGAAAGTTCGACGGAGGGAAATGGGAAAGACACACACAAACACAACCGAACTTTTCGACCAAAGTCTTTATCAAGGCAGTACTAAGTACAACACAGACTGACTGGAAACTGTCTTTGTATACAGTCTGACTACTATAATGATATCATTTCAGGTTCCAACAAAGCATTATTCAAACTAGCCATGAAGAGGAGGATGAAAAGCAATAGGATGACGTGCAATGCCAAAATATTGTCTCTTTTTTATCTGTAGAGTGTCCGCACCGTATTTGTGTATACCGAATATAACATAAAATGTGATTAGAAAGTTCGACGGAGGGAAATGGGAAAGACACACACAAACACAACCGAACTTTTCGACCAAAGTCTTTATCAAGGCAGTACTAAGTACAACACAGACTGACTGGAAACTGTCTTTGTATACAGTCTGACTACTATAATGATATCATTTCAGGTTCCAACAAAGCATTATTTCAAACTAGCCATGAAGAGGAGGATGAAAAGCAATAGGATGACGTGCAATGCCAAAATATTGTCTCTTTTTTATCTGTAGAGTGTCCGCACCGTATTTGTGTATACCGAATATAACATAAAATGTGATTAGAAAGTTCGACGGAGGGAAATGGGAAAGACACACACAAACACAACCGAACTTTTCGACCAAAGTCTTTATCAAGGCAGTACTAAGTACAACACAGACTGACTGGAAACTGTCTTTGTATACAGTCTGCCTACTATAATGATATCATTTCAGGTTCCAACAAAGCATTATTCAAACTAGCCATGAGACATTGGGAGAATTACACCTGTATCACTTTCAAAGAGAAGGAGCCGGAGGACCAACATTATATTCTGTTTACAGAGAGATCTTGTGGGTATGGCCATTACCATTATTTGTATCATTCCTATTACTATTTGTTATCGTGTGTCCAAGGTTGAATTCATATTACCATTTGTTATCGTGTGTCCAAGGTTGAATTCATATTACCATTTGTTATTGTGTGTCCCAGCTTATATCTGTCCTAATCGGTGTGTGTCTATATATATATATATATATATATACATATATATATATATGTGTGTGTGTGTGTGTATATATATATATATAAACACACACACACACACACACACACACACATATATATATATATATATATATATATATATATATATATATATATATATATATATATTCAAAAGGCATACTTACTTTTTAGGTTCTTCAGTATAACTCCACCCGTTTTACTAATTATTTTAATTTTAGCTTGCGTCAACAAACAACGAAGCACAAAAATCAGTCTTTTTTTATTCCTGTTTTTTTTTAAACCTAACTGCACAGATAAAATTGTCTCTCTTTTACATCTGACGTTTATTGTCATGTTTCCGATATAACATTGTCTTTCTTTAGACAGTACATCTGACGTTGATTCACATGGTTCCGCCGTTTGGGCATTGCTGTCCAGGATTTCATCTATTGTTGTTTCGCTCGTCACGTCAGTAAAGACCTTTACTGAAAGTAGTTGTTTGTGCGTGTTTTTCTTCCTTTCCTCCCTCATTGAGCTTTTTGGTCATAGTTCTGTGTATTTGTGTAAATCTTATCACGTTACCCCTGCTTCCGCCAATTCTAACAAACCATGCCTATACTTGTGATGAATAACTAAGAAAGCATTTTTTTTTTTTTTTTCAAATTTAGTTATAGAGCTGACGAGATGCAGCAAACTTTCTCAGGCAATATAATCCATAATATATTACTTGTGTGTTAACTAATCCAATTCAGAACAGGAAAATACTGATTTAAAATTACCAGTCATGAATAACATTTTCAATTCGCTTAATCAAAGACAGAGCGACGAACGGATGGATGGATGAATGGATGATTTTAATGAATGTTTAACTTTACCATAAATTATACTATTTATGAGTCGATCTTTTGAGATCATTCTTTATCAACAGCACATTTAAACACAATAACCATACAGCTGTATTGACTTTCAGATGTTGTTCTTTTGTTGGAAAGCGAGGAAACGGCCCCCAGGCCATTTCTATTGGCAAGAACTGCGACAAATTTGGCATCGTCGTCCATGAACTGGGTCACGTGATTGGTTTCTGGCATGAGCACACGCGACCAGACAGAGACCACCACGTGCAGATTATTTATAAAAACATAATGCCAGGTAATTCTCACCCAGTTGACATTAAATTCATTTAAAAAACTTTAAGCTCGCCATGCTAGGCTATTATCTCTCTTCGCATTAATTAGGACAATTGTTGATTGTTTGTTTGTTTTAGTATCCAGAAGCCATGAGTTGTTAACTCTTAGGCTCGGTATTATGGATATCGCAGCCTTTCGGCCTTGATTCCATTGTAAATACCGTCAATCTGGGAGCAATGTGGCTTTTCTGCCTACCCCCGGGAGTGAACCCGGACCACAAGGAGTTCGTCACCCGGTCACCGCGCAATCCGGCTTAGCCAACTACGCTAGAGAGCCGGGCGACAATTATTGATAATATTAGGAAAACACTGTGTTTGTTTCATTTTCATGAACTTTGAAAATTCAGCAAGATTAGCTAACGCAAGTTGACATATGGGATATTTAACATTATCCATCTTTTCGACTCTGGTTACTGAGGAAAGAGACAAAGACCATGTGAGAATGTCCCAAGTGTATTTATATCAACCCCATGTCCATTTATTTGATAATCAGTACATTCAAACCATCCACCACCTCCCTCATTTGTAGTGACCGCAATGACATACCTTCGGTGAACGGCAGGTGGAATACAGAGTCGTGGACAACCTGAGGAAACCTGGACAATAAAAGCAGGACAAAAAATGAAATGTCACATGTGATGAGATACCATGGGGGGAAGAGCTGCAGACTGGCATCAGTGCAGATCATACGTGAATGTCTTATGTATTAACAATAGCACGAATGATAAAGATATATTGGCCTACAGTAGCCATACAGTTAGACAGACATCATATACACAAACGTTTGACCACAACTGCATCCCACAAGAGAGACGAGGGAAGAACTTATAACTGAATTCACAGCATTCTAAACTTTCCCATACGCGCTCTGTCCTCATCAACGGCAGTCAATGAAAAGTGTCAGATAGAGCTAGTAGCGGTCTGATTATGTTTCCGCCTTGTCTTTCCTTTAAGTTTGGAACGTCATCTAGTTTCCCCGGTCACTCTCCTCTCCACTGTACCATTCCCTGTTCACTGTACCATTCCTGGTAACTCTCGACTGTTCAATTCCCTAGTCACACTCAACTGTACCATTCCCTCGTCACTATACCGATTCTCTGATCAATCTCCATTGTACCAATTTCATGTCCCTCTCCATTGTACCATTCCCTGGTCACTCACCATTGTACCGATCTCTGGTCACTCCCCACTGTAACATTCCCTGGTCAATCCCCACTGTACCGGTTCCTGATCACTCTCAACTGTACCATTCCGTTCACTCTCCACTGTACCATTCCCTGGTCACTCTCCTCTCCACTGTACCATTTCCTGGTCACTCTCCTCTCCACTGTACCATTCCCTGGTCACTCTTCTCTCCATTGTACCATTCCCTGGTCACTCTCCTCTCCACTGTACCATTCAATGGTCACTCTCCTCTCCACTGTACCATTCCCAGTTCACTCTCCACTGTACCATTCCCTGGTCATTCTCCACTGTACCATTCCCTGGTCATTCTCCACTGTACCATTCCCTGGTCACTCTCTACTGTACCATTCCCTGGTTACTCTCCACTGTACCATTCCCTGGTTACTCTCCATTGTTCTATTTCCTGGTCACTCTAGAAAGGGAGGGGGAAAAGAAGAAACCGCGTCTGCATTTGGACAGAGAAATAAAGACATGCCTAATGAAATCAAAATATTCCTGCTTTGCCATCATGCTTTAATGGATGGAATTCAGCCCACTGTCTTTAGCGTAACTTGTCAACGTTTATTATTGTTTAAATTGGACTTTGTCAATGTTACCTCAATCCATTTATTTACTTTTTAAGTTCATGTTTTTGGGATTCTGTTTTCGCTTATATCAGGATGTATCTGTTGGTATCTTCTCTTTCTTATACCCGTTGAGATACTAGCTGTTGTCCAGACATGTGTTGTTTTCCTTTTGTTTTCTTCGTCTTTATTGATATCCCCAGTTTAACGTTGCAGAAAGTTTATTAGGCATTTCATTGTGCAGCACCCATTAAAGATGCATGTAGTTGGCAATGGAAAGGCAGTAACAACATCTAAATTCATAATCTGTTTAAATTACGACTGATCACTGGCATCATTTTGAATGTTGAATAAGTGTCCAGATTATAGCACTCAGGACACTCCCAAATGTGCTCCGTCTCCATCTTGAGCAGCAAGCCAAAAGTTCAAATTCCGATGTCACCAGTAATTGTCTGATTGTATATCCGTTTCGTCCTTTCCCTGAGTCTTGATCGAAGGCCAGATCCTCTGGCAACTTCTCGCAGCGCCATTATCCCCACACTGTATTGATCTATCTGTGCCTCCGCACTGGTATCATGAAGGCTAATAGACAGCAATGGTTCGGGCAAACACAAATAACAGTAGATGACAGAGAGGAAATCACTGTGTACAGAAGGGAGTTGATGAGCATACACCACAAGGCAAACTCAGAAGTCAGTGAGGAGACAATATTCAACCAGACCTATAAACACTTGGAATCACCCATAGAAGGGAAAAAGCCAGTCACAAAGGGGAATGCTAGCAAGAGGTATCTGCACCGATGAACATCACCAAGGACTAGGAATTCTGAAGAAGATTTGCTTCTGAATGCAAATGAAATATTAGAGTAAAAATAATTATGTTGTTGCAGAATTTAGATAAACTCACCGAAAGACGTAAATGTTGAACTAAACCATTGACTAGCATAGTTAAGTACGGAATCAGACATATAATATAGTATTGAATAATACAACTGATACTGTGTCTCATTTTCAGGTCAGGAATATAACTTCAATAAATTGACAGCTGCTGATGTGAATTCTTTGGGAGAAACTTATGACTTTGGCAGGTAAGATTTTAAAAGAAAAATAGTTGATTTAACAATTTTAAATTATTATTAATAACAATCTTCAATTTAAATATTGTATGACTTAATATGGTAATTGTTAAATCATTCTAGAAGCTTTTGGACTGTGGTATGAGAGTTTTACCATTAAAGAGACCAATCACTTACTCTCTCTTTCTTTCTCTTTCTCTTACTTTCTCTCTTCCTCTCTCCTCTCTTAAACTCGCTCTCGCGCGCGCTCTCTCTCCCGCTCTCTCTCTCTATCTCTCTCCGCATTGTCCTTAGATAATTGTAGTAATCTATTTCATTATCGTATTATAGAGACAATATGGCAATTGTTATATCATGGCGCGCACACACACATTTATAAGTGAAAGACCCTTTTCCATGCCTTTATTAGTATAGGGCATATAGGGCTGGACCTATTTTTGATAAACCAATCGGCACAAGATGGGTGATGTTGTAAGCATCACAATAGCCGCCTTTACTTCCCGGGACTGCAGCCGATACCACTCAAGGCTGCTTCGACCTTGGAGCCAAGGTCATTTTTTGACAAATGTCTGACTCCGCCAGGGAACGAACCCACGACCTTCCGATCCGCGGCGAGCGTCTAGCCCCTCTGCCACGGCGACACACACACACAAACACACACACATACACACATATTTATACATAAAAGTCCAATGTGATGTTTACTTTGAAACTAACTTGTATTGATTCTGTAAAGTGCGCTAACATGTGTTTTCTGCATCCACAGCATAATGCACTATTCCCGGAATACATTTGCACGTAACACGTACCTGGACACAATACTGCCACAGAGGAAACCAGGCACCATTGTCAGGCCTGAGATTGGTCAGCGAATAAGGTTAAGTCCAGGTGACATCCGACAAGCTAACAAATTGTACAGATGTCCCAGTAAGTATGTAACTTGTACATACATTGTTTCTGCAACGTAATTGTGTCTGGTGAAGATAACGTTGCGTCAGTTAGCTATACAGACATTTTACAGGTGTGCTTATGTCCTCTCTCTCTCTCTCTCTCTCTCTCTCTCTCTCTCTCTCTCTCTCTCTCTCTCTCTCTCTCTCTGTGTGTGTATGTGTGTGTGTATGTTTAATAAATATATTGAAGAAGACTGCTACACCACCCAGGAGTCAGGCCTAATAAATCTTAACTTTCTCTGTGTGGCTACTGTTACTATCGCAATAGGAAATCAACGCTGGCTGCTGAAGATGAGAAAAGAGCATGTATGATAACATCTTGAGTTCTATGACGTCGGCTGTTGATTCATCTCAACGCAGCTCCTCTGTATGTAGAAGTATACACAGTACATGCAGAGAATGGAACTAAGTTTGCAGTAGCCAAATACGTCATAATCGCTAAGATGCTCTGTCAGCAGTTGTTTTAACAAAACAGTTAATGAAAGCTTTTACACATTTATCACTTTAAACTCTTGTTTGTCCCAGAATAAAATGTGTAAATAACCTTTCGAGACAGAAACAAAGAAAAATATGTTGCTAACTTTAATTCCCCAGCTGCCATACTGTTTTCACGTTGACAATTTCTTGCTGCAAAATAGTAATTATAAATACTAATTGTCCTAGACAAAAAAAATTATAGAAAAAAACATTGTACGTCTTTACTTACCAGGAATTCAAGATAAGCCACTAGATAACAATGACTATCTCAAACACACCGCATGCTCTTTTTGTTTACATACAGCCTGTACATTTATTTTATATTACAGTCAAATTTTCATTCTGGCTTTTCTCTAACTTGCAAGGCGTGAAAATAAGACATTTAATTTCAGGTTGTGGACGCACACTTCAGGAATCAATTGATAAATTTAGTCATACATCAAAGCCAGGTGTGCCGGACTTCTGTCAGTGGCGTATCTCTGCAACTCACGGAGAGAAAATTGTGCTAAACATCACTTACATTGACATGCCTAAATCTTACAACTGTGAAAGCGACTATCTAGAAGTCAGGGACGGCCATTACATCAAGTCACCACTTCTAGGTAAGCTTCTTTTTTCGATCTTTATCACCTTTTATTTTCACCAGCTGTAAACTCCGGCGGAAATTTTGAGTTGTTTGTCCACCTCTTGACATTAGTCCTGTTCCAGAACCGGAGTGTTGCATGCACATCCGTTTTACAGATGTGAAATTTTTTGTATGCTGACTGGTGGTTCCTACCATCAGAGGCAGGTGTATTTTAACTTCAAAGGAAGACCGTTAATTAGTCGACTCATACGACATGCTTGCAGTGCAGGCAGTAGGTCTATTCTTGTTTCCCTCACAAGGGGGACCCAGAGCCCACACTGGAAGCTTCTTTAAAAATATTGAAATAATTCTTGTTAAAAGGACACTTCACGTATTTGTTCGATATTAAGCGTTCTCAAAAGATCTACGAGGCAATTCTTCATGTTCTTTTGTGTAAGCCAATAGAGAGCGTGGTCATCCTTAAGTGTCGTTGGTTTACAGCTCGGTTTTCATATCTACGCCTCTCATCCCAACACATTAAATTTCAGCAATTCATTAGGCAGTCGTATTTTACCACATGCCTTGTAAGGATTAGAGGATCTGACACTTCCCCTCACCCGTCAACCCCCCCCCCCCCCCTAACCTTTCCTTTTCCTCTTCAACTGGTGCCTCGGAATCTACACGAGGATAGAGGAACATTAATTAGTGACAGTTAATTAGTCGACTTTTGCCTACTGGTTCAAAATCGTGGGTTCTTGCCTTCCACTGGCATGATAATCCGCTGTACACGCATGTCGTTACTGTAACTGACTCACATAACATGTTGAGAAAACTGGAGATAGGCAGAGTGGCAAGCATCTTTTCAGAGGTTAGCGTCCTTTGGATATTTTCTGCAGGTCGTTCTGGTGTGTTGGGAAATTAGCAGGCAGACAGACTGGCCGGTTCTGCACTACTTGGTGGTGAATTGATGTATGACAAGCTAGATGTTGTGACGGCCCTTTGGGAGCGAGTGAACAGTGCAGAGGCAAAAACAGATCATTACGGTCTGAGAAGAATGTCGCAAGGACAGTTACCAGGGGATCTGGCAGGCGCCCAACAATCAAGAGAAGGGCGAGACGGATATACAGACTGTTACTGATACCATCAGAATAGGAACTACTCTTTTGCTGCTGAAGATGTAGACGGGGCGATTATGGGAGTGTCATGAGTGCTATGATGTCGATTCGTAATTCAAAATTTAACAGAAGACAGTAAGGAAGGGTATGGTTTATGGACGAAACGATAGAAAATAACCACAGGACGACGGTGGCCATGGGATATCAAGGAGAACCTGGGCATTAAAGTTCATGAGGTGGGAATTTTAGGATAGGGTCCATGCGACGTTCAGGAGAGCCGAGATGAGAGGGTCGTTATGCAAAGAACCGAGGACCTGCTACTTGACGATGATGATTTTCTTCTTCTGGAAGCGGAGAGAACAGTGGGGAAAAAACAACAAAACTAAACATCATAAATGTTTACTGTAACAGAGAAACTGATTGACGAAAGAAATACACTAATGACAACATATTGCAGGTCGTTACTGTGGCGATCAGATACCCGATACCCTGACATCGTCAGGAACACGGATGTGGATAGAATACAGAACTAGGAATGGAGGAGGTCAAGGCTTTGCAGCTGCTTACGAAGGTGAGACCTTTTTTTTTTTTTTTTAGCAAGTAAGATTGTATAGAGAGAGTCCGAGTTTTTCCATTGATAGAGGATACTCATGGTTATGTAGTTTAATCTTTTGCCGCACGTTCTCAGGGTCGTGGGTTCGTTTCACAGACAGCTCGGTCTGTTCGTTGATGCAATTTTAAAGAAAATTTAGGCTCGTCGCTTGTATCAGACCCGTGAAATTATTTGTTCAGTTCATGTCAAGCCAATGCAGCCGCAATCAAATCTCATATTTGGCTCAGTTAATATAATATCATGCGGTAGACAGATAATGGTTTTATCCAACTGTTCCTTCACAAACTATCCTTCACTTGGTTGGGGCATATTGAAAGAATGTCAGATGACAGAGAAATAACGACTGTATAACAAGGGAGATGAATGGTTGTAGACCACGAGCCGACCAAAAACACGATGGAAAGATAATAAATATCCAGACAAAGCTGCAAAAACTTGGTGTCACCAACTAGAAAGAGAAGGCCAACCAGAGAGATGAATAGAGGCGGGTGATATCTGCAGCAATGAACCTCAAGGGCTCGAAATGCTGAAGAAGAAGAATAAGAAGGTTCCTTCACAGAAAATAAAGAAATAAAATGCTTCCGAAACTGACCTAGCTATCAACTGCAAAACAGAAATAGTCTAAGGCGCTAGATGCTTAGAAAGGACTGAAAAACAAAACAAAATGTTATTGTGGCTTTTTAAACTCCAGATGCCTACACTAAAAGCAGGCAAGTACATACACATGCTCACATAGAGAGATACACACATAGCAGGCACAAACATACATCCAAAAAGCTCATAGCCATACACAAATCACAAAGAGAGACATATTTATCAATGCTCACACAGGTGGATGCATAGGTAGTAGTGCAACCGCGCGCGCGCGCGTGTGTGTGTATGTGTGTGTATATATATATATATATATATATATATATATATATATATATATATATATATATAGACAGATGTATGCAGGAGGAAAAAACATTTATACCGGAAGCAATTAATTTAATGAGGAAATACATTAAATCAATCTGTATTAAAAATCATCATCACATCAGGGTTGCGATGCGTTGCGATGTATGTTTCTGCCAGTGTCGGACCAGATAATGTAATATTTCAATCATTTAAACATCATTAAAAATTGAACTCTGTCATCTGGTGACAATGCACCAAGGATACCGATAATTATTTGTATTTAAAAAAAAAAAACAACAACACATGCAGGTAGAGGGAGAACCAGAAGAAGATCTATAAAAGAAGTCACTGACAATTTGAGACCTCACATCCGGAAGCCGACTCTGGGTCAGCTACCGAGCATATGGTAAACTGCAGAGTCTAGAGACATGAAGCAGACACTGACGAAGGACGAAAAAAATATAATTTAGGTTTATGGCTCGCTACTGTGTTGTTTCTTTGTTCAAGAAATTACTACGATAAAAATGGCTGTCACAAGGGTTCACAAGACCATTGACAATCAAGAATAGAATGGGCGATCCGATTTTAAATCTTCCAAGAACAAAAGAGTTATTAGATGTAGGCAATAGGATACATTGGAACCGAGGTAATTCATTGACTTGCGACTTGCCTAACGGTTTATAGGTCTTTGGTTTGAATCTTTACTGAAAAAAAAAAGATTTTTTTTTTTAAAATGCCCAACGCCTAAAACAAATGTTTCAAAAAATTGATGAACATAAAATGGGATGAATTCAAGAGGATTGAAAAACAAAAGGGATATTGTGTCGACCACTAGTGCCGACCGTTATAAGACAGAGAAGATAGCGCTATATTGGACACATTCTGATCAGAGGGAGCAGAGAATCACCAAACATGCACTGAAATGGGACATAGAGGGGCTGAGAAAACGAGAACTTCCAAACGAAATTCTAAGTTGAACGTTGATGAGCGAGAAGCCAAAGCTTGAGGACTGGCCATTCCATCCATGATATTGAAGCGATTACTGAGGATAGAACGGAATGGAGAAACAGACTGCCAACCCTGTGTGGCATATAATGGCACAACAAGAGAATGTATGAATCAATGCCTAGAACTTCAAACGCTGAGAAAAGTCATTTCCTTACTTCTAATTTCTACTCCTTCAGACGTGTTAGGCATACAGGGCTAGATCTGAAATTCATATGCCAATAAGTTCTCAATGGGGATGCGGTCAACATCACGCCGGCTGCCTTAACTTCCCAAGACCTTATCTGGTACCCATTTAAGGTTTTGTCAACTTTGGAGCTTAGGTCATTTTTAAAGAGAAAAAAAAATCAAAAAGTCTGACTCCGCGAATCGACAAATGTCAATCCTTAGTGAACTTCTAGTGGTTACACCACACAGGCTCCCATCGGGCATATGGTGTTAAACCTACATGTTACGCACCAAATACATTGGTATAGGGAATGTGTCAACATCACGCCATCCCCATTTACTACCCACAGGTCTAGTCAGTGCGTTACTGTTGCTGTCGATAATTTTAATAAGAAATAATTTTAAATGATATATGATGGAAGTGGAGGATACAAGCATGGATGGTGAATGGGTAAATAGATATAAATGATTGACGGATAGATAGCTGAATTGACGGATAGATAGGGGAATGGATGGATGGATGGATGGATGGATGAATGGATGGATCAATGGGTTGGTGAGTGGATGGATGAATGGGTAGATCAGAATTAAAAGTAAAAGTAAGTAAAGGACAATTTACTTGCCAGTGATTCGTCGGACACTTGATTCAAGACTCATATATTTTTTTTTAAACCAACTCGATCGCTGGGGTGGATGTATTGTTGGGTGGATGGATTGTTGGGTGGATGAATTGTTGGGTGGATGAATTGTTGGGTGGATGGATTGTTGGGTGGATGGATTGTTGGGTGGATGAATTGTTGGGTGGATGGATTGTTGCGTGGATGTATTGTTGGGTGGATGTATTGTTGGGTGGATGTATTGTTGGGTGGATGTATTGTTGGGTGGATGGATTGTTGCGTGGATGTATTGTTGGGTGGATGTATTGTTGGCTGGATGTATTGTTGGGTGGATGGATTGTTGGGTGGATGAATTGTTGGGTGGATGGATTGTTGGGTGGATGGATTGTTGGGTGGATGGATTGTTGGGTGGATGGATTGTTGGGTGGATGGATTGTTGGGTGGATGGATTGTTGGGTGGATGTATTGTTGGGTGGATGTATTGTTGGGTGGATGGATTGTTGCGTGGATGTATTGTTGGGTGGATGTGTTGTTGGGTGGATGTATTGTTGGGTGGATGTATTGTTGGGTGGATGTATTGTTGGGTGGATGTATTGTTGGGTGGATGTATTGTTGGGTGGATGTGTTGTTGGGTGGATGTATTGTTGGGTGGATGGATTGTTGCGTGGATGTTTTGTTGGGTGGATGTATTGTTGGGTGGATGTATTGTTGGGTGGATGGATTGTTGGGTGGATGAATTGTTGGGTGGATGAATTGTTGGGTGGATGGATTGTTGGGTGGATGAATTGTTGGGTGGATGGATTGTTGGGTGGATGGATTGTTGGGTGGATGGATTGTTGGGTGGATGTATTGTTGGGTGGATGGATTGTTGGGTGGATGTATTGTTGGGTGGATGGATTGTTGCGTGGATGTATTGTTGGGTGGATGTATTGTTGGGTGGATGTATTGTTGGGTGGATGTATTGTTGGGTGGATGGATTGTTGCGTGGATGTATTGTTGGGTGGATGTATTGTTGGGTGGATGTATTGTTGGGTGGATGTATTGTTGGGTGGATGGATTGTTGCGTGGATGTATTGTTGGGTGGATGTATTGTTGGGTGGATGTATTGTTGGGTGGATGTATTGTTGGGTGGATGGATTGTTGGGTGGATGTATTGTTGGGTGGATGGATTGTTGGGTGGATGGATTGTTGCGTGGAAGGTTTGATGGAGAAATGACTAACAATTGTTCTCTGTATCTAATTAGTTTATTCATACTTGCAGCTATGTGTGGAGGTGAGATCATGAAAGAGGAAGGATTTCTCACCAGCCCAAACTACCCTGATGACTATCGCCCCCAGAAGAAATGTGTCTGGAGGATAACCGTTGGAGAAGAGTTTACTGTAGCTCTCAAGTTTCAATCCTTCGAGGTTTGGCCCAGCTTTAGCTTAGTAATATTAGTATACATCTTAGGGTATGGGGGATGTGTGTAGTCAAATTTTCATAATTTATTAGAAATAGCCTAGTATTTTCTTTGACAGGTTAGACAATTGTAAAGTTTTCAATTAATCAGTTAATTTTTCAGTCAGGTGCCATTTGTACAATGCATTACTTTGCCTCCAATGAACCTCAAGCACTGTCATTCGGCCTGGATGTAAGCTCTCTAAAACTGCTTTACTTCCATCTCTTGATATTATCATCCCCTGTGTTTCACTGTGTCTCCTCCTCGCCTGCATTTAACTTTTCATTTCAATGTCGTTTCATACGAGTGTGATGCTAACAACATTACTCCCCAAGCGTTGATTGATCTACAATAGATAGTCTAGCCCTATGTGCCCAGTATGCCTAAACACGTGGAAAAGGATCGTTTACTTACTGTTACTTCTATAAAATCGATATTTGTCAAATGAGTTAAGAACACATTCTTTAAACCTAAATAAAGTGAACCCTGATAAACTGAAGTGAAACATGGCCAGTTAGCTAGTAGAAATTAAAAAATTGAAAACTAAATGTAGATATCTTGTCAGAATTAATGGTTTGCATTAGATAAGACAATTTATATCTCTCGTCCCTCGAGAAGAGAAAAATCGAAGTAAGTTGTGATAACGAAAACGTTCGAGGGGAAGCAAAGCACATAGAGACTTCCATAGAATATGACGATAGTTAATCAACATGGTACGGATCACCATTTTTGTAATTACAAAAAAAAAAAAAAAAAAGAAATTAGAAAACACCTGTGACAGAATGTTTTGGAAAGTTACGATACCAGTGCCATTAAGGCATTGACTATAAGTAGTATAATCTATATTGCCCTGCCATTTTAGCTCTTGAGCATTGTCTGAATTAAGTCAATACACCTTCTCTCACGACAGAAGCAACTCACGACCTTCTGCACATAAGAGCACACAAAATAAACACAGACAAATAGTAAATAATGACAGATAACTAAACTGGTAGGTAAACATGTTCCTGAAACTGATGCTTTGGAGTACATATTTTGTGAATTTCACATTTGTAAAATGATTATATATATAAAAATAGTATGTTTTGTTCTATGTAAATTGTCACAACCCGTATGATTTAAAATAGTGTTGGGAAAATCAACTTACGACCAGTTCGACTTACGACTAGTTTTCCAGAACGGAACTCTGCGGTAAATAGAAGAGACCTTGTAATTTATTTCAATGGAGTGTATATTGGGTGGCGTTTGCTCACCCAGGCTGATACTGGTATTTATGTACTGTACGATTTTCACGCTACAGACTCACCAGCCAATGGTCTTAGACACATGGCTTTAAAATCCCCACGATACTGAATGGGTAAAACGACGAACATGGAGGATGATCTTTACTTCTCAGGACATTTCCTGGTACGTATTTTAGGCTGCGCTGATCTGCGAGTCCTAGGACAAAAATAAACAAGAGTGTATGTACTGACGGCCAGTTACCACTTGATTAAACGTCCCACGAGAATTAAAAACTACTGGATGATGAATGCTGAATTAGGAATCGATATCACAGCAATCGAGACCTAGTTGGGGATTTTGACCAAAGACCTTCGCTCAGGCATACAAGCATCTGACCACTGCTCTACCGTAGCTTTTAACATCAAATAAACACCAGGAAAAGACCCACGGAAGAAAAATGGCTAATGTTGAACAGATTGCGTCATCTATCGATTGCCAGTTGGGCTTTCAAAACAGGGATCCTGACCTACATACCCTAGGCACCAAAGGCGTAAAAAAGAATAACCTTTCTCAACCGTCTCATCAATCATCTCAGTCAGCAGACCTACCCATACTGAACCGCACATTATATTATAACCATTATGTGATGCATTTAATGGATAGTTATATGTCTAAACGGTTGAGCAGGGTCTCCAACATTCTTACCTGTTTGATTCTCGTCTTTGGGATGTTAATCCCAAGAATGCAAACCTGGAAGAGAAAAAAAAATGTACTTAAAAAAAAAAAAAAACGAAATGCACTCAGAAAACGTCAGTTATATCTGAAGGTTTATATTTAAATTCTTTCCGATAGGAGTATTGTATTTGTGCAATGTTATAAAATACTGTTTGTGTATCACTTGACTTGTGCTTGTGTGTTCTGAAGTTTTAAACCTCTCCGTTTTTATTATGTTGCTCAAATTAGATAGAAAATCACAAAGATTGCGTATACGATTACCTTGAAGTGCATGACGGGCCGACAGAAACCTCACCTTTGTTCGGCAAATACTGCGGGTTTAAAATACCAGAGGATATCAAATCTACAGGCAACCACTTGTATGTGAAATTTGTCAGTGATGGCTCTGTTCAGAAAGCGGGCTTCTCAGCAACATTTGTTAAAGGTAAGATCTGAGCGTCTTTATGACAATTTAATTCCCCAAGGAAAAAAGCACACAAAAAACAAAACAAAAAACACATAACTGTGGCGAGCTATAAAATTAGCGAGCTGCATCTTTTTCAAGATTCGTGACAAGTTGTAAAAGCGTTTTTGGTGTGATCAGGCTAAAGAAATGGTAATTTACGTCAGTATTGTGAATTCTCTATCATGAAAATCTCTATCATGAACAAGCAGCCATCAGAGCAGCTGGTGAAACATCTGATTGGTTTGAGGTGCAAAATGGGGTGAGGCAGGGGTGCATTCTCTCACCATACCTATTCAATATATACTCGGAAAATATAATGAGAAATGTCAAAAATGACCAGACTTGTGACAGTTATGATCCGCTCAAAATTGGTGGCAACCCTATTCCGGAACTCCGCTACGCAGCTGACACAGTCCTCCTTTAGAACAGCGTAAAGGAAATAGACAATTTAATATTGTCTGTCAAAAAGCACAGTGAAGATCAAAATCTGTTCTTGAATTTAAAGAAAACGAAAATAATGTCCACAGATAAAACTGGCTGTCACCCAAAAAATAACAAAAAATAATAAAGAAATTGAAAATGTCACAAACTTTGAATATCTAGGCTCTATAATAAACAGCAATGGAGACTGTTCAACAGAAATTAAAGGGAGGATGGCCTTGGCAATGCAAAGATTGAACAGCCTTAAAAGTCTATGGTTAAGCACCAGCAAGGAGATAAAAATTAGAATTTTGAGAGCATGCTTCTTCCCAGTGGCTACATACGGATGTGAGTCGTGGACTATCACTCAGTCCTTAAGAAAGAGAATAGGGGTTTTTGAGCTGAAATGCTATAGAAAGATTCTCAGAATATCTTGGACAAAGAAAAGGAGAAATTTTGACATCTTAAATGATCTGAACATCAAGGAAGATTGGCTAATAAACAGCATCCTTTCTCGGAAGCTGAAATATTTTTGGTCATATCAAGCGCCACAACGGATTGGAAAAAACTATAGCATAAGGCATGGTACCAGGAAGGAGTGGCAGGGGCCGACCGACACGAAGATTGGCACAGGATATAAGTGACTCCTTGAGTATGAAAGTATATGAGGCAGGAAAACTGGCGACAGACCGAGTTTCTTTTAGGCAGACTGTGATGAGAGCGACGTTCTGCAAAGGACCGGCTAAATGATGATGATGATTGTGAATTCAATTTTTTTTTTACCGAATTAAAATGATACAATTGATGAAAAAAAAAATGCTATTTCGGATAGTTTGAGTGTTACTTATATACCAAACATGAATGTCGAGATGAAAAAAAAAGAGCCGCTGCAAAAAAAAAAAAATCACGTTTTCAGGATAGGTTATTACGGAGACATTGTCAAAAATACAACGGCATGAACTTTTAAACGTACTATATTATAGTATGTGTGTTGTTGTTAATAATGACAGTAGTGTCTTTAATTATAGTCGTCATCATCATCGCCATCATCATCATCATGTTTTCTGTTAAATGGCTTGGGGAAGAATAATCTGCGATCCATTGAATGACGAGCAGCAAGGTCTATAATCATTCCGCATCGACGTAGAAGGTCTTTAATATCATCATTCCATGTTCTTCTAGGGCAACCTCTTGCGCTTACATCAGTTCTTTTTGAGATCAGCGCCTGTGTTGGTAGTTGATGTGTCTGTATTCTAAACAGATTACCCACCCATTTTATCTCCTATTTCTCAAAATATCTGGTGCATGGTGGTGTTCCCACAGTCTGTCTGTGACTATGATCTCTCACGTTATCTCGGATGGTTAAGTTTGGGGCTTTCCTCGCGCATCTCATTTAGTTTTACGTAAGCTAATATCTGATAATATCCAAGTTGTAAAGTTAGTTCGTTCGTTAGTTCGTTTGTTCGTTCGTTCGTTCAAGTTTAACACAGTGTTGGCATGCATATGATGTTTATCATCTGTTTGTTGGCAGTAATACCTACGTTTGAATGTCTAAATCACTTGGTATATAAATGCACCAGCTCGTTAGAATCTTGTTTTTATTTTCTAATCTCTTCTCCCGTCCTCCGACAATATACTTCCCAGATTTATAAACTTTTCAACTTGCATCAGAAAAGTAACATTCAACTATATATATATATAGGAGTTCTACTGACTCGCAAAACTTCACTGTTAGTCGCACAGAGTTACTTCAGAACTAAAACAAAATCCGTTCCGAGAGGGCTTTCAAATTCCAATTCTTTTGAGCATCAGCGTCCTGCTATCCGTTTTCTTTTTCTAGCAGTTAAGGATGGAACCTATAGTAATTCGGTGCATACAAATGATAAATGTCACTGTACTATTATGATCAGTTTTTGTATTTTTTTAGGGCCTGTTTAGCATAAGAAGTGGCTGGTTAACTTAAGGTCAGGCTAACATATGTTGACCTATGTTATAAATTATTGTTGTGTATTCTTGCAGAGTTTGATGAATGCAGCAGAGATGACCACGGGTGTGACCATGACTGTGTGAATACTTTAGGCAGTTACCGCTGCTCTTGTAGAATAGGATACGAGCTGCACTCCGATGGGAAGAGATGTGAAGGTCAGTTGTAATTAGGTGCTTCTGCAGGTGGCAGTGTTTATGTGTTGATTGAATGTCTTGCTTTCTTTCTACTTTATCACCAGCTTCTTCATAATCTTTTTTCATGTGTTCTCGTTCTTCTTTTTATAACCCTACTTCTAACTGCTACCTTTGCTACTACTGCTGCTGTTAATGCAGCCGTGTTTCTTCTTCTTCTTCTTCCTCTTCTTCTTCTCCTTCTCCTTCTTCTTCTTCTTCCTCTTCTTCTTCTTCTTCTTCTTCTTCTTCTTCTTCTTCTTCTTCTTCTTCTTCTTCTTCTTCTTCTTCTTTTTAATCTCCTCCTCCTTGTTCTTCTAAAAAACTAATAGCTAAATTTCATTATTATATTTAGGGCAAATATACAGATGTCGCTCCAAGACTTTGTACTCTGATCCTAATCTTTGGGATCAAATTCTCTGAGCTCCTGAGCGAGAGTGAGAGAGAGAGAGAGAGAGAGAGAGAGAGAGAGAGAGAGAGAGAGAGAGAGAGAGAGAGAGAGAGAGAGAGAGAGAGAGAGTTGAGGTATTTGTGGGTGTTTTTAAAAATGAGATTCTTTGGAAAATCCATGCTTTGCTAGCTGAAACTTAGGAGTTTTAGCATTTTGTGTGACGCATTCTTTGGACCGTTCTGAGGAGAGCCATAAAGTCTTGTACGATACAGTTGTCTGTAATAAAATTAGTCATCGACTTTCATGGATCGTTATATTACCACTGTTACGTTAGGCATATAATGTTAGACTGAAACTATGTAGATTTTGTCAGCAATGGATGGGTGACCTTGTGGTGAACAAACAGGTGACCAGCCACAACACTATCACACCTCACCATTAAACACATGTTTAGCTCACATGTTATAGCTCTTCCTAAACGACGTCTCGGCACCGTGGAAGCCCTGTGAGTATTGTATAGGTGGCTGCTGTAGTGGCATAGACCCATAAAATAGAACCCTCCCCCCTCTTTCCCACACACACACACACACACACACACACACACCACACACACACACAAACAGTGCACACAAATGTCATAACATTCAGTGGTGTGAAGGTGGAATGTAAACAAGCCATATCCTGGAGCAGGTTCAGTGTGCAATAACGTGTTCACACAGCTTGAACAATTCTAAGAGAGAGAGAGAGAGAGAGAGAGAGAGAGAGAGAGAGAGAGAGAGAGAGAGAGGAGAGAGAGAGAGAGAGAGAGAGAGAGAGAGAGAGAGAGAGAGAGAGCAGTAATCGATGACGAATTTAGCCAGTATTTTGCTAGACGTCTAACTTCCCCAAAACCGTTACGTTACTTTTTCAAGGCTGGGTCACATGGAAGCCCAGGTTAGGTTGATATAGAAATAATCCCACATTTGATGGACACATGACAGTCCAGGTTAGATTAATATAGATAGCATCATTATTTCAATGTGCACTTGAATACATGAGAAGCATGCGAACTACTGAGCCAAAGTGACTCCCTTTTTTAGTCAAGATAGCGGTACAAAATAATAATCATCATCATCATGTTGTGTTGTTAAACGTCACATAGGTGAAGTAAACAAAGACCTCTTGCATGCCTTCAGATATATTGGTCATATGGGGTAAAACTATTTTTCATAGACCCATCGACATTTTGTTGGTAATGTAATCAACACCACACTGGTAGCCTTCACTTCCCATATATTTGCATTGTACTAATGCAACGCTGGCCTGTCATGGGAGCGAAAAGGATTTCCACGGCTTGGAGTAGGATAATGCCAAGAGAAATCAGACTACTGTATTCTAGATTTATCTTGATTATCTTTGTCGTTCCCGTATTGGTATCTTTAGTATCTTTTTGTTGTGATCTCGCATACAGTACGTTTAATTTATCTGCCAACTAATTTTCTTGAGTGGGATGGGAGAAAAATGGCATCAGTGGAGCCCAGATCATCGAGATGTTTTGTAGGGGTCCACTGAATTCCATTCTTTGTGGTAACGCTTGCTATCTGTTTAATCCAGTCTATTGCCAGTAAAATAACAGGAGTGACAAAGGGGATCACTGTCGAACTTCTATTGTTGTTGTATGTTATTTTTCCACATGTCTCTTTTAGCTTTCCCTTATTAAGAAATCAACATTTCATGTTTTTGATTGTTGCCTTTATTAAGTTTTAATTGTCTGTTTGATTCCATAGTGCCTAGTCAATATCCATGGAGATACATTGCTAATGCTGTCAAAAGCTTTTCATGAGACTATAAGTCTAATTTAAAGTGAAGAATTTAATTAAATACTCTCCTCTATTATCCCACGTAGAGTGTATCCCTGGTCAGGACAGGATCTGGTTGGAGAAACCCGACTTGTTTATCATTTAGCTATTTATCAATGACATCTTTAAGTATTTTCAAAATGACCCCACATTCATATTTTACCAGGAACTTGCAGCATCATAATTTATTTATCTATACTTGTTCCTCTCCTACAGGGCATATTTTTTTTTGGGGGGGGGGGGGAACAGTCCACTAAATATCATTCTCTTTAGTCTGCTTTTATCTCTCCAATCTGCCGGATATTTTATTACTCTTCTCTATCTCTACTGAATTCATCATGTTTAATGTTCATCAATTTCCTCAGCCATTTTATTAACATCCTTATGCATACCTGAATTATAACTACATTTCATGTTTGCATTTTCTATAGACGCCTGTGGTGGGTACATTGATTACGAAAACGGTACGATAACATCACCGTCATTCCCAGACTTGTATCCGCCAAACAAGAACTGTGTGTGGCAAATAGTTGCCCCTGATGGCCACCAAATTAATATCAACTTTACACACTTTGATCTGGAGGGGCACAATGTAAGTCTTGAACAATATTGACATTTATACTGTGTCCTTCATCAATATGGAAACTGTGGTAGAGTAGTAACTAGACCGGATTCTAGGATGGTCTTGGATTTGAAATGCATCTATGGGGATTTTTATATTCTTGACTAATAACGCAGTAATTAAAACTATCCAGTAAGTATTTTTTTTTTCAAGGGCTCCCACGTCGACATAGTCTAAAAATGTTATCAGGAATGTATGTGGGAAGTAATGGCTGCTGGAGTGATGTTGGTGACATCCACTTGAATGCTCATTTGTCTTTAAAGATTTGAGTCTAGCGTCAGATACCTAATGGGCCAAAGGCATGACATGGTCCTTCACTTCACTTGTACATCTACACGATACCCATCCATCGATTTCAAGTTCAGAATTAGAAAACGTTCTATCCTAAGCAGAAATATGTTCGGCGAACAGTTTGCATTGATGATCATGACAATAGAATACACATAGTCTTCGTGAAGGAGTAAAGTCGTTTGCTTTTCTCTTTGAAGGTCGTGTGCTTGGTATTTTACATTCCAGACGAGCTCTAATGTCTGCGATGTTGCTTTCTTGTTCTAGTTAGAAGTTATGGATGATTTCTCAATAATGTAGTAAAGACACTCATATATTGACGTGACACCTGTTGGCATTTTCTGTCTTTATTGTAGTTCTGACAATAATATCGTCTAGTCGCTGTCTTCGGTTTTTACTAGTGGTACTAGGATCAATTGTCAATGATTACATTGCAATCACACGTTGTTCAGTCTGTCATTACTATGCATTCAGGGTGTTCCATTTATGCGAAGGACTTGCATCTTCAACACAGTGCTACGCACTTTCTTTCAGGGCAATAATCAATGTAGCATATGTTCAAGAGTTCCTCCTCAGGAATCACTTCTTCACGCAGTCATCAGTTATACTTTAATGTTTACGTTTAATCTTTAGAATTGTGCAGAATTCTTCTTGACCTGTGTCGTGAGTATCAAGATTCAATTTGTCCTGCGAATGGGTTTATTTTTCTAACCACGACAAGGATGGGGGAAGGGAGGGGGGCTATTTTCAATTGTTAACTTTTTCAAGATCACAAGGTAGTTGATTGCATTGCCTAGCCAATCCTAATGATGTTAATAAATGTATCCCTTCTGTGCGTCACAAATCCCTGTACAAATGGAAGCTAAGTCAACACTAATTGACTCGAAGACCTAACTTTAAATGCCTCGTCTAGCAGCCAATAACTTCTCAAACTACGGTGGTGCATTGTCTAATAGTCTAATTTCCTTTCATCTGTTTTTCCCCCAGTTACAATATCTGACATTTTTATAGTTATCAGTGTTTTTGATGAAAACAAGATTACTGCCAATGTTCTTGAAAGTCTTCATAAATAATGCTTGCTTTAGAGAAAATTGCTCACAAAATAGACTATTAGAACCGATTTTGTCATGAAAGCAGAACCTAATTACCGGGATCGTACTTTAAGTATATTTAGCTAAACTATTTGTTACCTTCACGAAGTTTGTTAGGATTAGGTAATTTAATATAGGATAAAAAATATAGATTTATAAAACTGCTAATTATTTCCAGACATAGTCTAGCGAGTCCTTTTCAGTGCGGGTATTTCCACATCTTCAATTTACCAGAATAAATCTACATTTTCTGATCAAAACCACGAATATGTTTTAGGTGTATTTACAGGCTGTGTGTAAGGATATGTGGTATAGTAGTTCAGAATCTAGCCTAAAAATCAGTCTGTGTGAGTTTGATTTTGATTTGGTCTGATAACTGATGGTATATGTTGATGATCTATAAAGCTATCCACTACAGATTTTCGTTTTAAATGTCTTTCTGTGTTAACAATTACCTTGACTTTATTTATAATCATAACTTCTCTTAACCTGTCTATATGGCAGCTGGTTCGTACACAGCATCGTCTAATATCCACTGACATAGTCTGCTTTTGTGCAACACTATGTGAGGCATTTAACGATGATCAGACACACACACATTAAACCGCCATTCAGTGATAGATTATTTCTTTAAGATAAAAGACCTTGCAGACAGGACATTCAGCAACTTGACGACAAGTTGTCAGAGCACGGCATCTGCGTTCACTAGGGGAGGGGATTAATTCTTACAACAGGATTTCATTTGCAGTCCCTGTGGGAAAATAGAGCTGCAGTTTTAACTTAAACGGCATATAGGTTCTTTTAATTAGTACGAATGGAATAATTCCAACTCTATTACACTTTTACTGCAATAGCACGACCATCAGATTACTTTCATTCTTTTTATGTGGATAGTCACTCTCCTATTCTGGGTTTTTGGTCCAAACAAAATACATTGTAAATACTGGAAGCAAGACTACAACGATACAAAAACTTCCACTGACAACAATAAAGAATAATCCCAACAACAACACAGTTAAGATAAAATAGAAAGAACTAAATTTGCGTAACTACAAATACAAACGCTTACTCTTACAGCAAGACTGTGAATATGACTCGGTTCGTGTCAGCAGCGGGGTAGGAGGCAATGACTTGAAACCACTTGGCGTCTTCTGTGGATCAACGTTCCCGGCTCCTGTTACTTCTGAGGGCAGCTCACTGAGAATTGAGTTCAATTCTGATAACTCAGTGCAGAAAACGGGTTTTGTTGCTACTTTCACAACAGGTATGTCAAAAGTCTTCGTTTGATCATCGGTAAAGTAACCGCACTTTTTAATCCTAGTGGCACAACAAAAATACATTACTATGTGTGGTGTTAGCATTACGTTGTTATGGTCTAAGTGATGATCATACATCTTTTACGATTAATATCACAGCAGCTCAAGGGCGTCGATACAAAAAAAAAAAAACTTAGATGGAGGAGAGGGAGAAGGGTGGGGGGGGAGGGGGGGGGGGGAGTGTCAGCCTCCATGCACATTGTCTATAGGGAGACTTCACAGGCATGTCTTCTTTTGAATCACAATTTTAAAAAATGTTATTGATAAATAAATATAGCAATATAAATAATATGAATAAATTCCTAAAGAGAAAATATCAAACAATGGGTCTGTTTAGCGTACTTTCAAATTGTATAAAGGGAGGAAGTGGCTCGATACTCCCAAACATTTATGCCGGTCTCTAGGTTCCAGGGCCACTGCACTAGACACCTTTACAGTGTGAGGTTTTTAAATTCCAGGATGACACTGTCTGTCTATAAGTACCTGGACAGGTTTTGACAAGTACCCACGACAGCAGGGACATTGACATCATCACTTTTCGAGTACCATTGTATCTATAGGTTTATTGCTCCGGCACCACTGGTTGATAGTGTGAACAGTGTTTATTTTGTTATGTTACTTTGTGTTAGGATATTCAAAACCACATGTTGCATGTAAATTTTTCTTTTCAATGTATAAATCTTGTTTTTACCTGTTAACGTATCTTCCCATATGTATGACTTCGGGTCAAAAATGGCTTGTAGTCAGGGTTTACTGATGCAGACTTCCCCTTTCTGAACCAAACTGTACAGTACCGAGATCTGCTTGAAAGAGATGTAGCACTGTGCGAAAAACTTAGGCCAGAACCATGCACAAGCAAGCCAGAGAAGGCAAATGTAATCCTAAAGGTGCAAAGGATCACTTCAAAAGATGCCCAGACGGAGACACAACAGAGAACCCTGGCTCTTGCTATGCTTGATGAGAAGTATCCACACACCACTTGGACTCAGGTTTTCACCGACGGCTCTGCTACAGATGCAGTCAGAAAGGGGGGTTGTGGAATTTACATTAAACCCCTAGCAGTAGAGCAGAAACTCTCTCTCTCTACCAGCAGATGACATCTGCACTAACTTCAGAGCTGAGGCAACTGCCCTCCTTTCTGCAGTCCAACATCTCATCACTCAAGAACACCGAGGGCAAAAAATTGTTATACTTAGTGACTCATAGTCTCTTCTCTAAGCACTATCAAGCAAAATACAAGATAAACTAATTGCAGATCTAAGGACCAACATTGGCTTACTCTTCAAGGAAGCAGAACTGGTCTTGCAGTGGATACCAGCCCACTGTGGTATTCAAGGAAATGAGAGAGCAGATGAGTTGGCAAAAAGCTGTGAGTAATCTTCCACAACCTCATCCACCACACAGTTACAAGGAAACCAAAACAGCGCTAAAGCAGTCTTTCAAGCTGGAGTGGAGAGGAGAAGGCAGAATTTAGATTACAGACCAGAGAGTGACAGCATAAACAGGAAAGAACAAACATCAATTTTTAGACTTCGGACTGGACACTGTGGTCTTCGAGCACTCTTGTACAGAATAGGCATAAAAGAATCTGCTGCCTGTGATTGTGGAGCAGAAAGACAGACCCCTGAGCACATACTGCAGTACTGCCCTTACCTCTCCCAGCAAAGACTGTGGATCTGGCCCAGGGGATCAACATTGCGAGAGAAGCTATGGGGGAATGGTGCAACCTTAAACGCACAATCCTATTTGTGACCTAAACGATAACTCAATGTTTAGCATGACTGATGTCGAATACCGAAGAAGAAACTTTCTGGACCAGGAGTCCATACTGTCTGTCATCCAGCTACTGGGTTGTGTGCTAGTGAGGCATTGTGAGCTGTATTTGTGTGTGTGTGTGGAAAGTTTTGCTCTGTTGTTGCCCCAGGTGGCCAATTACATTCAGAAAGGAGTGTCTTATGCAGTATTGTGTGTATAATGTCAGCTCTAATATCTGACTACTTTCATCAAAAGCTTTCCTTTATATCAAGTATGCCACAGTCATCATATGTTTGCTCAACAACGTATTGATATTTTTTTTATGAGGGTGTTTCATTATTGCAGACAAAGATGAGTGCGCCATAGACAACGGGGGCTGCCAGCACATCTGTAGAAACACCGTAGGCAGCTATCAGTGCGCATGTCACAATGGTTTCACTTTACATGATGATTTGCATGGCTGTAAAGAAGGTAAATGAATTTTTGTTTTCTACATTCTATCTTACAACCTCAAGGTTTGACATCTAGTCATTCAAGGAGTTAATTTTGTCGTCTCTATCATGCAGAAACAATCCCATATACCCTGTTCAACATTATATACAAGTCATCAGGTCACATTGGGCTTTAAAACAGCAGATGTTCTGTGCAGGTTATGGAGGAGATAAATAATTTAGTAATATTTATTTATGTCTTGTTATTACCTAATTGTACAGGCATATAGGGGATCAGTGTGTTTGCCTACCGAGGCACTAGTGCCTGTTCAATTTCTAAAAGGGGCAGGATTTTCTTCTGATACGTATGACTCTGTGGTCCATTAATTCTAATTAAGATAGGTAAATGATAGTGACCAGAATATTCTGGAAGTTAACAGGGATTGAAAGACCATGCTGAAGGGAAGTGACCACCTTACTTCCTATGTCATAGAATATGTTAAGACTGTACACTTCAAATTCCAGTGGCAGTATGTGATATTAAACTATATTTACATATATTTTAAAGAATAAGAGGAGACGCTGAGGTTGGACAAATGACACACAATGCATAAACGTAGGATGGAGGAATGACACATAATGCATAAATGTAGGATGAATAAATGACACACTGCGCATTAATATCGAGGACTGAATAATAGGTAAGTCATATGTTAACTTCAAGGATGGATAAAAAAGCGAAATATATACTTTAACCTCAAGGGTAGATAAATGACACATTTTACATTAACTTTAAGGACGGACGAATGACAGATACAACTGTAACTCCAAGCGTGGATAAATAACAGAAAATACATTAGTCGTGTGGATAAAGAACCCACACAATCGTCAGCTTTGAGGAAAGATAAAAGTTGGATTATTTATTATCTTTAATGCTAAAAAAAAAAAAAAAATAAATAAATGAGACCTTAACTTTGTGGATGGGTTAAATACATCTGCTCAGTGAAGAATAGAAAGTAAATATGGAAGACCCTGGTTGAACGACGGATTATCCTCATCGCACACCGGAGAAGTGGATAAGGGCTCAGATTCCGTCTTCATTATGTCCCACAGCGTGTGGTGACTAACAACACTAAGTCTGTTTTTCTTTACCATCCTTCTCTGGCTACCTCTTTATCGTTCATTTCTGACAATACCTCTTTTGACCTGAAGTTCTCGACTCAGCATATTTTCCTAAATCATTCACTCGTCCTACCTCCTTGAGAGCACTGAGACTCTCTGCCCGGTACATTGTTTGTTCTGTACTTATTGTGGCCCTACCAGCAAGCCCATCAACTCATTCATTCCTTCTTACTCCACAGTGCGCTGATACGCAAATGATTACGACGCGATTTCCTCGGTGACTCAAACCGTTGTCTTCGAACACATCCTGTCTGGATCCTATTAGGCATGCTTCATAACAGTGAAGCATCAAGCATGTTCTGTTCAAGACATGTGTATAGACCAGTGAGTGACCAAAATGGCACTTAAAGGCTGCATACAAGAAACACAGTAAACACACTATGTCCTGGAAGCTCAGGCACTTAAGCTGATGAATCAGTCAGTAGCTTTAAGACTTTCGTAGTTAGCGTCACTTGTGGAGTTACTAGATATGATCACAGTCGGACTGTTTACATTTTCTTGTTGTTGTCACCTTTCCTGGGAATTACAACCCGTGGTCGTGGATATCTAAGACAGTGGGTGAATTTCTCCCTTTCCATAGCAAAAAGCCTAAAGAATATTGCCGAGATAAAGTGTTGGCCTTGAAACATTATAAATTCTCAACATGCTTTGTTAATTACAAATGAAAGCTAGCACCAACACGTTTGGAACAAGGCATGCTGCAGAAGCTACTAGACTAAAAGCACCCGCCTCCTCTCTCCATCCACCTTAATCCTAAGCAGCTGCCACTAAAAGATAAGGGTGTTTAGACTAACTCATCATTACGTGCTAAGAATTACAACCAGCATTACTACACTTCTGCATCCAGTGAGGGAGACTGAGACCAAATGTCTATAATCTGAATACAGTGATTACAGACATATGTATTTGTGTGTGTGTTCACTTATCTGGATATTATTTTTCCCACTTTAGTTCCTAGTTAGCATTTAAACTGCCTCTGTATTACCTCTTCCTAACAGGCGCATTCTATCCGTGAGTTAATTTTATCACAAATTATTACTAAATTATATTACATTTATTTTGTATTCGATTTCTCTAACATTTCTGCCTAGCATAATTGAATGAATGAACAAGTATTGACATCACTATACTCGGGACATCTCCATATGTGCTCTGTCCTCTCCTTCAGTAGCCAACAAATAGTCAACATGCTCCAAGAAACATTTGCAACCTGATTAAAAATCCGCCAGTTTCCCCTCAGTGTTAAATATCTTCCAGAGCCTCTCTTCAACTTCCCCCTCCTCCGTTAGTCCTTCGATGTAGGGATTCTCTGTCTATGTTATAGTCTAGCATCATTGTTGGATGGTAACATTCTTGAACTGATACAAATTCTAGTTATTCTTTTTGTAGCCCGTACCATGTAGCGTTGGTCTTTGTGTCCGAAGAGAACCCACTATCACATTTATTGCCATTCATTTGAGAATCATCCCGTGTTTGTTCCAGGGCCACATTAGGTAGGGGGAGGGGAACTCCCCCTTTCCCCCATCCACTGCCAAGAAGCATATTGTAAAGGCCAACTAATTAAGGATGTTTCCTTTGAAATAAGAGTTCATCTGCTTGAGAGGCAAGGGACCAACAGTGTGCATACAATAAAAAAAAACAGATCTGTACAACAGATGCACAGGCAAAACTCAAATTCTGGAAGAAGACTAAAGTCCAGAAGTGGACGAACAAGCAGAAATTCCCTCAACATTTACAGGTTATAAGGATGACAAAGAAGAAAAAAATGGAACACATTTTCCTCTATCCCCTGCTGTAGGCGAATTAGGTACTTACTGGTCTAGGGGTAACGCGTAAGATGGGCAGTTGTCTAGGGTTAATGATGTTTGTGCGACATGTCCACGAATTCAATCTTGAAATGCCTGAGCTTCGGCAACATTACCTGAATGGGGCCACTATCAGTGCTGTCTCGTATGCAACAGCTATAATGTCAGTGTCCAACACACTCTCTCTCTCTCTCTCTCTCTCTCTCTCTCTCTCTCTCTCCCTCTCTATCATTCTTTTTCTCTTTCTTTGTTATCATTATCTTCTCGCCAATTTGTTCAATTTTCCCAGTGTCACGATGAGCTCTAGCTTTTACTCATAACGTGTTCAAGAAATGCTTCATTCTCATTCCCCTCCTGATTCCCCCCCCCCCCCCCTCTACGCAACACGGTTCCTGACATTGTGTTCTCATGAGTCTACCTCGATACCTGTATCGTTAATGTACCTCTTGCGCATATATTATAATAGATGCTGGTCTTGACATCTTCTGCCCATGTGTAATTCACCGTAGAGGATGTTCTTAGACTGCTCTATAATTTTCCCATATAAATCACATTTATAGCTTCCACATAACCTCCCACTGACTGCTGACTGATTTTTATATGTTTTTGTCACATACAGTGCTCCTGTCACACCCAAGGGCAGATGGCTTCTGTCACATACACGAAACATGACCCCTATCACGTCTAGGACTGTCTAGGACGTTGCAGAACCAACCCCAACAGCCCCTAGCTGTTGTGTGGTTTTTCTAGGCAAATGTACGTCCAGTAGTTTGCCATTGCTTTCTGTGATCCTTTATTGTGTGAGATACTTCTGATACATATGGCTTTGTCACATCTTTAGCTCATATTTATAAATATGGCGCTTGTCACATCTATGTATCCTTTCAAATACTTGGCTAGTATTCTTCAAAGTCAGTGGCTCTGGTCACATAAATCTATCTTTCGGTCTTCATATATCCCATTATATAGGTTAGTTGCGTATCCTTTACAGGACGTTGCAGAACCAACCCCAACAGCCCCTAGCTGTTGTGTGGTTTTTCAAGGCAAATGTACGTCCAATAGATTGCCATTGCTTTCTGGACGGTCGGCTTTCTTGATACCACTGTCGAAACCAACGCAAGGCGCATGCCCCGCAGCTGGGATCGAACCCACCCTTTCTTTATATACGTGCCTATTATTTTACACATGGCTTCTATCACAACACAGATCCTGTCATAGGTCACCTGTCATATACATAGCTTCTGTCACATGCATTGCTTTTGTCATATATATGACTCCTGTCACATACATGTCACATATCCCTCAACGTCGATCCTGCTTGCAATGCCTTCTATTCTTCAACAATAATATTATCAATAGTTATCAAAAGTAGTATGTGTATTCTTTACTTTGTGTTTTAGGTGGCTGCCAGTTTGAAATTCGAGCTCACTCTGGGGTAATATCAAGTCCCAACTATCCCGAATATTATCCTAGTCGCAAAGACTGTGTCTGGCACTTTACAACTGTACCTGGCCACAGAATCCGGTTGCGGTTCAGAGTTTTTGAGCTAGAACCACATCAGGTTTGTATCATGTACTATCTAGTTCCTGTTTTAAACAGTCCTATCTCAGACTACTCTGGTTTGGGAGTGGGGAGATGAAGAACAGATTGTGTAATAAATCCGTGACTTGGAAGGTTAGAAAAAGAATTTTCGCCGGCTATATAGAGCCAGTTTTAACATAGGCTGTGAAGCCAGGACAATTTATAAATAAGCCGAACTATATGTTGAGGCCTCCGAGATATCGTCTTGCAGAAGCATCCTTAGAATTGCTTTGACAGCTAAGAAGAGCAACCCAAATGTTTTGAAAAAGGTAAGTGTTCAAAGACAACTTATCACACACATCAGAAGGAAACAGTCACAAGTTTTTGGTCATGTTATGAGAAGAGGGAAAATGAAATATAATGTGACCACTGGAGAGATCTGTGGAAAGAGAGACGGAGGAAGACAGCGCGAGAAGATTCTAGAGAGCTTTTTGTCATGGAATGGACGAACTGATACATCAAGTTGCGGATGGCAGATTGTGGAGAGCCAAGATCGCCCACGCCTGTCAGCAAAGTTGATGATGATGATGATGATGGTGGTGGTGGTGGTGGTGGTGTTCCTAGACTGTTACTTGCCTGTTACAAGAATCATACAGATGTGAATCCTGGGCTAATAAAAATCACTTGAGGTAATGGAGATGTGGTTTTATAGAATCTGCTTTAAAAAACCTCAGCAAACCAAACTATTCTAGATGATTAGACATAATCTTTAAGCCGAAGACAACTTATCAATAAGATTAGAAAGAGACACTCCTAATTTTTGTCCCATTATGAGAAGAAGAAGAAAGCTGAATCATGTTGTGAGAACCAAGAATATTTGGTGAATACGAGATACAGATAAACGAGTGGGAAGGGGTTTGGAGAGATTCTTGAAACCCTTTAACCATTACACAGAAGTGTATTCGGGCATGAACTAAAGCAAATTTTTGGGGATAGGAAGAATATGTGAATAAAAACAGTTCTCACAAGTCGGTGGGGAGATGATGGTTAGACTGTGACAACCTTTCTGTCTAACCGTTCATGTGGAATTATAGACACACGCTGTCTATTTACCTGGCAACATCTAAATGCAAGTGTAGATGTGAGTAAAGGCGAGAAGATCGATTTCGTTGTTTCATTATTTATGCCACACTGGCTTGGTCTCTCACGAAAAGTGGGTTGATCGTCCGCGCAGACCCTTGTACAAACAGGAAACTTGTTTGCTCTAGTCGCAAGCATACCATATCACCAAAACCGCTTCACTTGGCACCTACATTGAATTCCATCTTGAATACAGCTTTCAAAGTGCGAGGGAAATCGCTTAACCTATTCGTCATATAGTGGCCCAGGACGATCCATGATGATACACTGTTTGAGGGTTACCAGTCTGAAATCAATTATTGTTTTTCCAAGCCTGATTAAAAAAAAAAAAATCACATATGAGTTCATATAAATTACAAAAACAGCCACCCATTAATAGTGTAAGCGAATGATTACAGACTTGCAATGTCTGACCTGAAATAAAAAAGATTGAATCTTCTGCCGTCTTGATAATTAGGATTGGCTCTCATCCTCTACGTTGCTCTGAGTGGAGATCAGAATAGACATTCTCAGTGTCGAGTTTCACTTATATTTCCTCCCTCTGCTATCCCACTGCGGATCGAAATTAGGTCCGCATCAGAATTACTTATTTCCTGAGGAAAATCTGTGAAATCTGAGAGTGTATTGCTTGTCTCTTTCATCTGTGATGATCTTGAAGCCGCTTTACTCTAACAAATTGTTGTTCACCTGTTTCCTGATGAGAATCTGAAAATCTGAGAGTGTATTGCTTGTCTCTTTCATCTGTGATGATCTTGAAGCCGCTTTACTCTAACAAATTGTTGTTCACCTGTTTCAGGAGTGTACCTACGACCACGTCGTTGTGTTTGACGGAGACGACAGCAGCGCCCGTAGTCTGGGCAAGTTTTGTGGTGCCCTGGTGCCAGACCCTGTCACCTCCAGTGGCAACAGAATGTTCATGCTATTCTTCTCCGATGCTTCTGTGCAGAGGAAAGGATTTGAGGCTGAGCATAGCACAGGTAATTCTGTTTTATGATTTGTAATTTTTTCTCAAGTAAATATGTCTAATGTCGGTGTGTCCATAAGTCATAGAAACCCCATTTAATCGTTAGGTTACATTAGGGCCCCCGACAACAAAAGGAGTGGTGGTTTAATACAGCACGCACACACACACACACACACACATCGCCTCCCTTATTGGTCAGAGTTTTGAATGAGCGCAGCATTGTATTAACATGAGGGGTTGCCGCATTTATGGTTTTTCTGATAACACTTTTTTTTTTTTTTTTGCAGTTAGCATCTGATTATTATTTTTTTCTATAATTAGACACTTAAACAAGGTTTATGAACTAAAAATTTCCTCTCCCCCATCTCGCCAACTCGCCACCCACTTCAAAATATGGCTTGTTTTCTCCTCAGATTCTATAGAGGGGAGATAACTAATTATTAAACTAACAGGTAATTTTTATCAGGGATCTCTTTCCCTTTAGGAAAAGCATGCGGGCTTTTCTGCCTCTGCTCTGAAGCATTTATGTTTTTGTAGTGAAAAAGTAGTGTTTATTTTCTCAACAGTTATTTAACAAACAAGCTAAATGTCATAAAAAACTGTTGCAGTTTGTGGAGCACGCTTGATAGCATCCGCTTCACCCCAAGGTCTGGTGTCGCATGCCAGGTATGGTGACAACAACTATGACAACAGAGAGGACTGTGAGTGGAAAATAGAGACCAAAGAAGGTCGCCGCGTACTGCTGAAATTTACTGCGTTTGATCTGGAAGATGAAGCTGAGTGCGGGTATGTGGTAATAACAATAATGTCTTTATCTGTAGTTCTATTTTTTTTTTAAATCCAGAAAGCATGAGTCGTTAACCCTGTGGCTCGGAACTATGGATATCACAACCCTTTGGCCTTGATTGCATGATAGTTACCGTAAATCTGGGAGAAATGTGGTTTTTCTGCCTACCCTCTGGCGTGAACCTGGACCACAAGGAGTTCGTCACATGGTCACCGCGCAATCGGGTTTAACCAACTTAGCTAGCGAGTCGGGCATCAGTAGTTCTCTAGAACTGTATGAAAAGGCAGGTTATGTATATTAAAACAATAACTTTGTTATGAACATTCAGAGGAAAAGTTGACCAGGTGTTAAAAATAACTTTGTTATGAACATTCAGAGGAAAGGTTGACCAGGTGTTTTGACTCTCGGGCAAGCCATGACAACAACTAGGCTCTGCAAAGGACCTGCTACATGATTTAATAAGATGTCCTTATGTTGAGCTGATTCAAGAGTCGACATCACAGCGCTTGAGCATTTCCATAAGCGCTCAATCCCTATCTTTATAAACCAGCACATAGTTCCCATACCAGTTGCGACAGGAGCAGTCTGATTGTATGTCCGTCTTGCCTTTCCTCTGAGAGTCGATTATCGGCTAGATCTCCTTGTCACTCCTCATTGCATCCATCTAACCAGACTCATCATCATCATGTAGCAGGTCCTTTGCAGAACGTTGCTCTCATCACAGTCTGCCTGAAAGAAACTCGGTCTCTTGCCAGTTCTCCTGCCTCATGTAATTTCATACTCAAGGAGTCACTTATATCCTGTGCCCATCTTCGTGTCGGTCGGCCCCTGCCCCTTCTTCCTGGTACCATGCCTTCTGCTATATATCAATTTGCTGTTCCGAATTGTAAACATGTTTCCATAAGACCTTATCCACGTCTGCCTTTTCATGCATCAATATTCCATCAAGCTATGGAGAGACCACTAGTCATGACTATCTTGAGACTTGGGACATCAGCTGTAACAATCCTGTTGTCAAGAGCCCACAAGTCATGACTATCTTGAGACTTGTGACATCAGCTGTAACAATCCTGTTGTCAAGAGACCACTAGTCATGACTATCTTGAGACTTGGGACATCAGCTGTAACAATCCTGTTGTCAAGAGACCACTAGCCATGACTATCTTGAGATTTGGGACATGAGCTGTAACAATCCTGTTGTCAAGAGACCACTAGTCATGACTATCTTGAGACTTGGGACATCAGCTGTAACAATCCTGTTGTCAAGAGACCACTAGCCATGACTATCTTGAGATTTGGGACATCAGCTGTAACAATCCTGTTGTCAAGAGACCACAAGTCATGACTATCTTGAGACTTGGGACATCAGCTGTAACAATCCTGTTGTCAAGAGACCACTAGTCATGACTATCTTGAGACTTGGGACATCAGCTGTAACAATCCTGTTGTCAAGAGAACACCATTAGAGAACACAATACAACTGTTCTGGGTGGACTACAGCACTAATTTATGTATATGTATATATTTATTCTGTTGCCCATAGCTCCCGTGGTGTTTGTTTCCTATCTTTTCCCTGCTTAAAAACGATAATCATTATCATCATCATCATCAGGTGCCTTGACGACTGGCGTGGCCGATCATGCCTCTCCACAATCTGTGATTTCCTGCAGCATGCATTAGTTCGTGTGCCGACACACCTCTGTGCCATGCAACAAGACTGTCAAGAATCTCCTCTCTTTGTCTTCCTCTATCCCTCCTTCCACAGATCTTTCCAGTAGTCACAGCATGTTCTATTTTCCCTCTTCTCATAACATGGCCGAAAAATGACGACTGTCTCCTTCTGATGTCTGTGATTAGTTTTCTTTGGGCTGCTGCCTCTTTCAAAACGTCTTGGTTGCTCTTTTTGGCTGTTCAAGGTATTGTACGCATTCTTCTGTAATATCATATATCAAAAATCAATATCAAAATCATCCCTCAAAATAAACGATAATATTATCTACAAATGCCAGTATCCTTCCAACCTCTTGGTCTTCCAGGCTTGCAATCTTGCTCATGTACACCTTGAATAACACAGGTGAGGTGGCTGATCCCATAGCAGTGCTGGGAATAAAATAGGTAGCTCTGAGATTCATGACCCTAGACACACACACACACACACACAAAAAGTCTTACTGCAATACAGACAACTGCTATTCAATTCACTAACAGGTCTATGACCCCAGACAGAAAACAATCTGACGGGAATTCAGACGACTGCTATTCAATTCACCAACCAGTGACTGATTCCCTTCTCCATCACTATGGTCATTAAATATCACATCTAACTCCGTTATTTTCATTCTTGAGATCAAACGCCGCCACCATCGTTTCCTGTTTGCTCCTGAACCGTACGTTAACATCAGAGGATAAGAGGCAAAACTGGCAACATTTGACCAGTTATCTGTTTATGGCCTAAAGATCCCCACACCTCTTGGAAGAAGCTTCCCTTTTTCTCTAAAACGCTTGCAGCTTGACAGCGACTAAATTTTCTAAGACCTTTCTAAATGTATTTTGTAAGGTGAAGATTTTAAAGCCACAAAGCTTTGAATGATCCTTGCATGGTTTTGCAAATGGGAATTAGATATTTTCCTGCGGTACTGATGCTGTCCTAATGATCTGATTAAAGCAGTTGGTCATCTTCCTGAGGGTACATCTTGCAATGCCTCCATGTGGCTATACTTAACCCCATCAGGCCCTAGGGCATTGTCTTTTGCTTTTTTCAATGGGTGTTTAATATCTTATAATCGTAAAATGTCTTCATAATGCATACTCGCCGGAAAAGCTAACCCATCAGTAAATGCCTGTAGAAGTCAGATGTGTCGGCCGATAGGCGCAAATATCGCCACTGTGCTGTAAACGGGTACGACGTAGTTACATCTTCGTATGAAAGCAGAAGAAGAAGAAGAAAATAATGCATATTATTTATAGTGCCAGATAAATCCTCTCCAACTGCATTCCTGGTGTCTGCATCATTAGCATCCCTATGAACTATCTAGGCTATACATCTCAAGAGAAACGCCTCCTCTCTTTGTCCATGTCTGTTATCACGCACACACCGCCGTCTCCATACATTGTTCCTACTGGTATCAGCTGATCTTTTCGTTGCGCTTGTCTTTGCAACTTCCAGAATTTTCCCAGTGTTTTGTCATCTCTAATCTCATTCATGACATTTTCCCATTTTGCTTTTGTTGGGCTTCTGCAGCGCAGTGCTTAAAAATTTAAACCTGATTCTTTTTCAGCATTTTCTGCCATCTTTACTTTCACTCGTGAGCTTAGGGGTGTCTGTTGCACTATCCGTAGCTGCCTCACTGCAGCTGTTTGTGTCTTCGATGTCTGTCCTTCTTCTGAAGTCCATCATGATGGCTGTTAAATAGTAGGTTTGACATTCCTGTTGCATTTACTACTACATTTGAAGACCAAAGGTAAAGGTGATAATAAAAAATAAAGGATGGCTGTGCTTCAGGAAATGTTGTTTTAAAATAACATTCTTTTGCGAATATTTCCAGGTACGATGTTGTAACAGTTTACGATGGCTTGCAAGATTCTGATCCTGTCATAGGAGAGTTTTGTGGAAGTGAGGTAGGGAGTTTTGTTTTGTTTTTTTAAACACCTCTGCTGAGAAAAGCCTTTTCTTGTTTCCGTTATATCCTTTAATATGCAGGTGCTTGACATAAATTCCTAATTCTTTTAATATTTTGCCACATGCTGGATTCATCCACTAAATCAATGTCCTCAATAGTTCTGTTGTGGAATTAAACCCACATATCAACTAAGTATATTTGTATGCCAAAAAAGTATACCATGCTTTTCAGTATCTGCTAAAGTCACCGTTCGGATTCGAACCCACTACCTTCTGATCCGCAGACTGCTACATTAGTCACGGCCATACCACATTGAAAACACCGGTTGTCGTCCGATCACCGAAGTTAAACGACGTAGGGCATGGTTAGTACGTTGTTGGGAGACCGCTTGGGAACACCATGTGTTGTAGACATCTGCTAAAGTCAAAGTCCCTGTCTTGTAACATAAAGATCATAATATATAAAATATGTAATATAAAGTATTTATGTATATATATATATATATATATATATATATATATATATATATATATATATATATATATATATATATATAAAAGTTGGAGCACAACTAACAGAGATGAAGCCTTCTTACACATTTTTTCAAACATTCTTACGACAAATCTTTTGGCCCATCAAAGATGCAAACAGTGAGAAATAAAGAGTGAGAAGCAACAAAATTTATAATCTTTATAAATCACTATTGATCACTGGCATCATGATGGCGAATAGACAGAAATGGCTGGGGCATACTGAGAGAATTTCTGATAAAAAATGGTACACAAAAGGGAGCTAAATGGTCATAGAGGTCAATCAGGAAGAGGATGGAGAGACAACATCCGGACAGTCCCACAAACACTTGGTATCACCAACTGGAAAGAGAAGGCCAGCCCAGAGATGAATGGATGTGGGTGATATCTGAAACATTGAATCTCAAGGGTTTGGACTGCTGGAGAAGAAGAAAGTAGCATTCGTTTTCACTCAAACCTAGGAGAGGTTAGAGTAAAATAACAGAGTGCCAATGTGACAATATAAGTTTGGTTCAACGGGCAAGACGGTGACACTAACAAAGTGCTGTGGGCGCAAAGAGCATGGCGAGGCAGGTAGAACGCTCTGGTCATCCACTGCACCTAGACATATCTCCGGTCTTCCTGACTCTGTCTTGCCACTGGACCCAAATATGACTCAGGCGAGAGAGTGAGGTCCACGACACTGTGCAAACTTCCTCACTTTAATCCAAGTCACTGCGAGAGTCACTCTTTCATCTTCATACTTGATGAAAAAGAGTGGTCATCATAATCTTTATGGACAACACACACACACACACACACCCACACCTAAGTCTAGCATCACATGACAGGTACAACAATGGCTTAGAAAATGAGCTGCAGTGTACTTTAAACGATTTACCCAGCAAATATATCACTACATGCTACATTTATAGTATCTTGCTTTTAAATTGTATTTTATAGACAATTACTATTTTGATTTCCAGATTCCAGATCCAATTACATCGAGTACCGAGTACTTACTGATTCGATTCCGTTCCGACGATACCATCAACTGGAAAGGGTTTTCTGCTACATACCAGATGGCCATTTCCTCTCCTGATTATGTGGAAGGAAAAGACATCTACGATCTAGAGATGGACTTAGATTAGGAATCTATCATACTAACTAAGACACTCAATCAGTTTGCTTGACTGTGTCACACAATGAATGATGTTGGCTGAGTCACTCAGCTAATCAGCTTGTCTGGGTAGCTCAGTCTATCAGTTTGATAGACTCACTGAATAGGTAAGGTCAACTGAATCACTCAAATAGTGTCGTGGTGTTAGTCATTGAGTCAGGCTGGCTGAATCACTAAAACAGTCACCTCGCATATATTGTGATATCGTGAAAATAAACTTACCAATACTGTTGTTCCTAATTTTGTATTCTTGTTGTACAAAGCATAATATTGTTCTTGTCCTTCTTACAAGTGTGGATTTTTTTTTTTTTTTCGTCTGCACTTGAAAATGTGATTGACCGAAAAGTAGCAGTTAGCTGTCTTCAGTGTAGAAAAAAAAAACCTGTAAATATCCCTCCCTTTAAACTGACTATTCTGTATGAGTGGTTTTCATGTACTGGATACATGCACTATTGAAATCTAAATTTGAATATCTCAAACCTCTAGTTTTCATCTTCTATGTATAGAAAGTAAGATTTACAACACAAGCCTTGCATAACATGGACAGTCCTGAGCTGAACTAAAAGTCAGTACCTGTTACTATAACAACGATATAATTTTAGATGTTTTTGTTTAAATCGAATATAAGAGACTAAAGTAGGTTTGAAATACTAGATTTCAGATAACTGACACATTGTAAAAGAAAAGAATAACTGTAAAAGAATAAAATAAGGATAATGTAATAAATAACAAATATAGCTTTCTCTCGTAGCAAAATACGAAGATAAACACACAAATGCTCGAAGACTGTGGGATAGTGAATTGTGCCAGCTGACTCTCAGTGGCAGGATGTGTGGGGATGATGCTGATCGAAATATCTATATTGGATATTTGAAAGGCTGAAGGTAAACTCTGTCCAGTACCATAGCTGTTAGTTTAAACCACTGGTGGCTTTCACATCTCAAACTAACTAGATCTTCAAAATGGCAAAAATACACTATATTTTGTTTATTTTTTGTTTAACGTTTTTTTTTTTTAATTTTTGATTACATAGTTGTAGGTAAAATAAGAGAAATAAAAGATTATCAAAGACAATTCTGGACAACCTCTTGTATAAAAAAATAAATGAAGAACCTAAAGGACAAAAACAGATGACAGTATATTGGGCGTTTCTTGTGAAAAAGCAAAAAACGATTTCCAAAACAGACACTGGAATTTAGAAACATATGGAGTGGGAATCTAAATCACATCCATAATACTCACACACACAAAATATATTACAGAATAGAAAGAAACATTCTGCAGTCTATGTGATGTATAAACCAGACAACAGTATCATGGCAAAATTTTTTGATACCCATAGGGGCTAAGATTGTCCGCTGGGTAGCATACTAGTCAAGGAGACAGATGGTTGTGGGTTCAAATCCCATTGAATGATATATATTTATTTTAATAACCAGAAAACACTCGTATGCTGGTCCAGATCCTCTGATGCTCAAATTTCAAACAAAATGGTTCCGGAAAGTTAATGGCCGTCTGTGAGATACCAACTCACCCACATGCTGCCAATTTACTCTACATATGTGAACCTGGTATTATATCTATAAAATGTTATTCAGCATAGAAATGGGAGTTGATACTGTCAAGAATGTGTGGCTGTATGCGTGTGTGTCTGTGTGTATGTGTGTGTGTGTGTGAGAGAGAGAGAGAGAGAGAGAGAGAGAGAGAGAGAGAGAGAGAGAGAGAGAGAGAGAGAGAGAGAAAGGGGGGATATGGCCTCAGAGGCAAAGGGACAATTTAAAGAAAATATTGAAAACATTTTTGAACCATTGATTTAAATGGATGGTTCACTTTAAGTTTGGAGTAGATTCACATGTGGTGTACACATCAATGTACCTGTTGTTGCATACGCCCTCTGGTAGCTACTCCACTCTGCTTGCATGTGACAAGTGCCAATCAATACTAATACATTTATGAATATAATGACAATTGTGTGTGGTCTTATTTTTCTTCCATATTGTAACTGAAAGTTAGTAAATATCAGTGTCGGAAACATAATTAAAGTGATCGGATTATAGCTGAATGTTATCCAATCTCAGTGTTGTGATGTCTACAGTATTTGGGTTAAAGTTAGTGTTTTGATTACTAAAATGTTACGGTTACCTATTTTTTAGTTTACTATTTATTATAATTGTTTACTTAATATTACATATACGCAACTGTGTTTACTACTGGGACACTAAGTAAAAAAACGCTCGCAGTATGCATACGCCTATCATGCCAAAATTGTAAAGTGTCAAAGCCACCAGTTACCAGTACAGTGTTGCTAGATGCGTGCGCATTCTCTCAATACCGAAGCCATGAGGAGAACATATCACGTGATACCCTGTCCAGTGTAGTCAATCGTTTAGACTTACACATGTCAACTGATCACACCGCTCCACTAACAGGACAGATCGAATACCCTGTTTTAATAGTTAAAAATAAAACACAAACATCTACGTGAGTTTTTCTAGGGCACCTTGCAGTGACAAATGTAACATCATTTTTTATGTGTGTAGTGGTGTACCAGCTTGTTATCAGGGTAATATCTGTAACCGTTTTAGGTTTACATGTCCTTTTGGTTCACTTAGTTTAATGTGTGCTACTGGAAGACTCAGCATCAACTTAAGTCATTTGTTGCGGGAGGAGGGCGCATCTATGGGTAAGCACAGCAAACGGCTGTGTTGATTCTTAAGTCATATGGATCAATCAAATTCATGTGTTAACACACTAATAAAAATGCGTTAATAAATAAACATGGAAATATAGGAAACTTCTTCTTCTTCCTCTTCTTCTTCTTCTTCTTCTTCTTCTTCTTCTTCTTCTTCTTCTTCTTTTTCTTTTTCTTTTTCTTCTTCTTCTTCTTCTTCTTCTTCTTCTTCTTCTTTTTCTTTTTCTTTTTCTTCTTCTTCTTCTTTTTCTTTTTCTTTTTCTTTTTCTTCTTCTTCTTCTTCTTCTTCTTCTTCTTCTTCTTCTTCTTCTTCTTCTTCTTCTTCTTCTTCTTCTTCTTCTTCTTCTTCTTCTTCTTCTTCTTCTTCTTCTTCTTCTTTCTTTTTCTTCTTCTTTTTCTTCTTCTTCTTCTTCTTCTTCTTCTTCTTCTTCTTCTTCTTCTTCTTCTTCTTCTTCTTCTTCTTCTTCTTCTTCTTCTTCTTCTTCTTCTTCTTCTTCTTCTTCTTCTTCTTCTTCTTCTTCTTCTTCTTCTTCTTCTTCTTCTTCTTCTTCTTCTTCTTCTTCTTCTTCAGCATTCCGAGCCCTTGAGGTTCATTGCTGCAGATATCACCCGCCTCCATTCATCTCTCTGGTTAGCATTTTCTTTCCAGTAGGTATCACCAAGTGTTTGCAGGTTTGTCTGGATATTATCTCTCCATCGTCTTTTTGGTCTGCACCGTGGTCTACGACCATTCTTCTCACTGGTGTATACAGTTTTTACTTCTCTGTCATCTGACATTCTTTCAATATGCTCCAACCATTCCAGTCTATTACCTCTCATGATGCCAGTGATCAGTGGTGATTTAAACAGATTATGAATTTCGTTGTTGCTTCTTACTCTCCATTCACCGCTGTTTGCATCTATGATGGGTCCAAAGATTCGTCGTAAGACTGTTTTTGAAAACCTGTAATAAGGCTTCATCTCTGTTAGTTGTGCTCCAAGTTTCAGAGCCATTTAAAACGGCTGGTCTCATCAACTTTTTATATACTTTGATCTTGGTGTTTCGAGACAGACACTTTCACTTTAGCAGATGTTGAAGGGCTTAGTATACTTTATTTCTAGATTTTATTCAATATTGTTTTTTTTTTCTCTCAGCAGGTTGGAGTATCTGAAGTTTGCACCCAAGTACTTATTAGTTCTCGTTTATTTGATTTTCATTTTATCGACATGTATGTGGCCGGAGTTTATATCCTTTCCCTGTCTAGTTATTATCATGTATTCTGCCTTATCTTGATTGATAACTAGTCCCATTTTTTGAGCTGATTCTTTTAACAGAGTCAGTGATTTTACAGTTTCTAGTTCATTTTCTCCAATAATATCAATGTCATCAGCATATCCAAATATTCTTGTAGTTGCACCTATAGTACAATCTTGTTTCAATTTCCTTATTATTTTCTCCAGGGCCAAGTTGAAAAGAAGTGCGGACAGAGCATCACTTTGCTTTAAACCAGATAGTATTTGAAACGGGTCTGACTTTCTGCCTTTATATATTACTATATTACGACCGTCTTCCATTCATATTTTGGTCATGGTAATTAACTTGTTTTGTATTCCAAAGTCCTTCATAGCATTCCATAAACTGTTTTTATGCACACTATCATACACCTTTTTTTTAAATCCACAAAATCATTGTGTACATCTTTTCTATATTCCCAATTTTGCTCTTCAATTTGCTGTAAATTGAATATCTGATCTATTGTTGATTTGTTCTGTCGGAAACCCGCTTGGTAATCTTCCAATATGTCTTCGACATATGGTTTTAGCCGGTTTAGCAGTACCGACAATAGTATCTTATAGCTTGTAGATAATAGTGACATTCCTCTGTATTTTTCACACGTCTCCTTTCTTTAAAATGTGTATTAATAAAGACACTATCCATTCATGGGGTAATTTCTCTCTCTTCCAAATGTGTTTTATTAATTCATATATCTTTACATGTAATGCATCACAGCCTTCTTTTGAAAGTTCCGCTGCAATTCCATCAGCACCAGTTGCATTTGTTATTTGTTAAGCTGTGTTATGGCATGCAGTACTTCTTCTTAATCAGGCTCTTCAATATTTGGTTCGCATGTTATCTCTTCCTGTGGATAAGTACTAAGTGAAGTTTTATAGTTTACCAATTCAGCAAAGTAATAATTGAATTTGTTACAGATTTTCTTATTATTTTTCATGCTCCTGTTGTGATCTTCTAAACTATAAAGGCTTTGTTGATGTCCTCGTTTTACAGTCGTCAGTTTTCT